TGTGTGTGTGTGTGTGTGTGTGTGTGTGTGTGTGTGTGTGTGTGTGTGTGTAAATAATTACATCATACTTCAAAGTGCCAAAAATAAAATTTCCTTTTTGTTAGAGAGGAAAAAATCGCTATCATGCGTGAGAAGCATACTGCTTTGATGAAACCCATTGTATTTGCATTGGAACATGTACGGAGCATCACAGCAGCTCCTGCAGAAACCCCTCATGAAAAATGGTTCCAGGACAACTATGGTGATGCACTTGAAAATGCCCTAGAAAAATTGAAGAATCCATCAAATCCTGCAAAGCCAGGAAGCAGCTGGATCGCTTTTAAAGAGGTACTGCCATAAGACTACCTGCAAGGAAGTACAAAAAAAGAAAATTTTTTTTTTTTTTTGGTGAGGCATTTGGGGCTTAAGTGACTTGCCCAGGGTCACACAGCTAGTATCATGTGTCTGAGGCTGGATTTGAACTCAGGTTCTCCTGACTCTAAGGCCAGTGCTTTATCCACTGTGCCACCTAGCTGCCCCTGAATTTTTCTTTAAATATTATGGGTGTTTTGTTTTTTGTTTTTCAAAGTTTCTTGACTTTCCCTCCTTTGGAGTTATGATCAGCTTTGGCAAAAGCTGTGTCATTCATTATAGGTTGTTTGGGTTTGCTTTTTGTTTTGTTTTGATTTGACAAACTGAAGTTTCCTTCATTGATGTTAGAACCTGCAACATAAATTATTATTAAGTGTTCACCCTGTGCTACTTTATATACTGTCCATTATGGTAGATAACCCAAAGATGGTGAGCTAGCCCCACTCTCAATTGATTGTTAAATATAAAGTGCCCAAGCTCAGTATTCTTTGCCTTTTACTAAATTCCGGTCATCTTCTCTTCTGTTACAGGGAAAAAAAATAAAAGGAGAGTGAGTGTTTGATCCTCTGTCCATATAATTAACTTAGTTTCTTTAGTAAATGTATTTAATGTTTATAATAACAAAAAGGCACACAACCTGATAACACTTTATTAGCATAGAAAATAAAACTAATATTGGACTTTTAAATTACTTTTATAAGTTGTGGAAATAATTCAGAATGACTAAATTAGGAAAGATGGTATATTAAAATAAAATGTATTAATATTTATCCGAAGTTTCCACCATGTATTTGTAAGATATGTTTTTAAAAGGAGCAACTTTATAAATTAATTGTGTGAAATAGATTTTGAACCCTAACATTTGCTACTTCTTTTTCCCTTATAATTAAGGGATTTTTTAAAATGTCAGTCGATAATATTTATTTACCTCTTAGAATGGAATCTTGTATGCCAAAGTAAATGTGAATAGGTAAGCATTATACTAATACATTGAACTTTAGGAATTTTTGTTGTTGATTTTTAATTTTAAATATAGGTGATGCTAAGTTTACAGCAGAGAGCACAAAAACGTGCTAGTTACATTCTACGTCTTGAAGAAATTAGTCCTTGGTTGGCTGCTATGACTAACACTGAAATTGCCCTTCCTGGAGAAGTGTCCGCCAGAGATACAGTAACAATTCACAGTGTTGGTGGTACCATCACAATCTTGCCTACTAAAACCAAACCAAAGAAACTTCTCTTTCTAGGTTCAGATGGGAAGAACTACCCTTATCTTTTCAAAGGTAAGATTTTAAATCCTCACCCTCTTCTCCCATTTGAAAAATAAGCTTTTTTTCTTAATAGAGAACAAATCCCTTTACATTTAAAACTAGTGCTTAAAATATGTTGGCTAAAAAAAAGTATATATCTTTTAAAATAAACTTGAGATGCAGTGCCTTACTATTATTAGTTTCTTTTTATATAACTTGCAATGACTTATTATTTAACTGTAAAAATTTAGAACATTGATTATTAGCTAGGACTGACTAATATCAAAAGGAAATGGTAAGGGTTATAGTTTATGGCCCCAGGAAATTAAGATGCTGTCATTACTTGGGTTCTTTTCCCCAAAAGGTTGTAGATGTAGAAATTTTAAAGCATGGTTAATAGTTTGGTTATTTTCAATCACTTCATTCCTTGCACTGGAAGTAGAATTATCCATCAGAGCCATTCTTATTATAACTATGGCTCTGTCTCTGTTGCTAAGAATTAATAAAGATACATAAGGATTATCTGTTGAAAATTTTTACATCCCCTGAGCAACCCAGTATCTCCCTTTTTATTTAGCCAGATATTCTGAATATGCTATATTTTATTTTTAATTGTAGGACTGGAAGATTTGCATCTAGATGAGAGAATTATGCAATTCTTGTCTATTGTGAATACAATGTTTGCTACAATTAATCGTCAAGAGACACCTCGTTTCCATGCTAGACATTATTCTGTGACACCATTAGGAACCAGGTCAGGTCTCATCCAGTGGGTAGATGGAGCCACACCTTTGTTTGGTCTTTACAAACGATGGCAACAACGAGAAGCTGCCTTACAAGCACAGAAGGTAAGTACTTTTATTGTTTTGTGAGCTCAAAATGCATATTTATGTCTATCAAAATACACACACACACACAGATACATATAAGTGCTAGTGACATTTTTTTAAATCATACTTTTTTCTAGTCCAGTAATTTAATAAATGTTTAAGTACTCAATAAGAGTCTGTGTGAGGTGCTGGGAATATACCAGTTGGTAGTATGTGAGAATACATTAGAAAGAATAAAGGTGTAGTTTAATGGAAATGTGATTTTTGGTTAAACTTACCTTAAAATAAAAAAAAAAATGAGACTACTCATTGAATATTGAGTAATATTAAATCATTGGTGATTTGATGTTAAAAATATAAAAAGGAATACAAAGATGTTTATGTATTGGTGTTTTAAATATTGTTTGTTTTGAATATTGTACATTTTGTATTCACTACTCCATGCTGCCAGGAAGATCTCAGTTTAAACTCACTTGACACACAGTTAGCTGTATGAACCTCGGCAAGTCACTTTTCTCTCAGTGCTCTAGGCCAGTAGTGTCAGTCTCAGATAGAAAAGGGGACCACTAGTCTATACATAAGGATCCCTGCAGGCCATACTGACTTAATTTTCATATGTGCTATTATATATCACATTGTTATTTAGTTTGTTAAGTATTTCTTAATTATACTTTTAATGTGGTTCAGCTGCACTTGGCAGTGTGGTGGGCCAACTGTTTCATACCTCTGCTCTAGGCAACACTCTAGGACTATAAATCACAGAGAATGTTCCATTGTATTGGTGGAAGGAGTTTCCTCACTTGGGAGTTCCCAATCCCTATCAATGTTTTCTATTAAATTAAATTCACAGGTTTGATTTGTTGAGAAAAACTTGACAGAAAAGAGTATGAAATTATGGTAAAGATAATTTTTTTTTAAGTAAAAGAGAGGCAAATAGAAATAATTCTGACACTTATGAATTAAAACTGAAAGAAAAAGTAATGGTACATAAATGATATCTCTACTAAAGAAACAGTGCCAGAGTTAAAGGGGATATTGGGTCATAAGGAAGATGATTAAGCTATTTGGTACATCAAAAACTAAACCAGGAGGACTTGGACAGGTAGACAATTTCAATAATGTTGAAAAAATGAATTGGGTTTTTGGCTTTTTGTTTGTTTTTAACAATTCTTTAGTTTAAACTTGTGGTTCTAAAAGCCATTTCTGTTTCCCCTGTAAGTTCTTAGTTTTTAAAAGTGTTGTAAACTGTCAGCTCAGTGATACTAGCTGACATTTTTAAAGTTATATAATGTTTTTTAGATTTTTCTTATTTGGCCATCACTGTAATAATGTGAAGTAGGCTCTATAGGCATTATACACATTTTATAGGTGAAGGAAATCAAAATTTGGAGAGTTTAAGTGATTTGCTCAAAGTCACATAGCGAGAGTTGTAAGATGCAGTTCAAACTCAAGTCTCTTCTGGCCACAGAATCCAGCATTCTTTTGACTATCCCCTGCTGCCTCTCATTTGTCATTTCCTTATTAGTGTTTTTATTTGTAAAAGTATAATGATAAATTTTGATAAAAATGATATTTTAAGTACGTTTAAAAAATTTTTTGGCATTCTGTTTTTTAAAAAATGATTAATGCTTTTTGTTTTTATGTCATATTTCTAATTCCTTTCATATCCAGAGAGCACTTACTTATAACAAAGACTTAAAAGAAAGAAAAAAAGCATTTCAGCAAAGCTAACAGACTTAACAGCTCTGTCTGACAGTACCAACAATTCAAACTTTTGTTGGAAATAAAATTGCAGGGTTTTTTTGTTTGTTTTTTAACAGGCTCAAGATTCTTACCAAACTCCTCAAAATCCTGGAATAGTACCCCGGCCAAGTGAACTTTATTACAGTAAAATTGGACCTGCCTTAAAAGCAGTTGGACTTAGTCTTGATGTTTCTCGTCGTGATTGGCCCCTTAATGTGATGAAGGCTGTGTTAGAAGAGCTAATGGAGGCAACACCACCAAATCTTCTGGCTAAGGAGCTGTGGTCATCTTGTACTACCCCTGATGAATGGTGGAGAGTTACACAGGTATGGTTTGTTTAAAATAAAGCTTAGGGCTTTGATGGTTGAGGGTAACACAATAAAGACCTAAATTTAAAATGCGTAATATTTATATCCCTGATTGTAATCTTAACTAGGGACATAGGAAGAAACACCAAGTAGTTTTAAGTGAGACCCTGGGTGGGGGAGAAGGTAAGCATACCCAAAAAAAAAAATTAGAAATAGGAAGAAAAGTAAACTAGTTAGAAGGGTGGGCCATCTATGAGAGATTGGAGTTGTGGTTTTGATACTGGTTTCAAAGCATTGTTTTCATGTTTAAAAAATAATTGTTAGTGATGTATGAAATCTTTTTTATTTTTAAGTCCTATGCAAGATCTACCGCAGTCATGTCTATGGTTGGATACATAATTGGCCTTGGAGATAGACATCTGGATAATGTTCTTATAGACATGACTACAGGAGAAGTTGTTCACATAGATTATAATGTTTGCTTTGAAAAAGGTAAAATAGAATTGATTTTTGTATATTTATAAAATATAGAATCTTTAAATTTATATTTGAGGAGCCACCTGAAGTGAGTAGGAGGTCTAAAATAAGAACAAAAATATCTTGTTGTTTAGGTAAAAGTCTTAGAGTTCCTGAAAAGGTACCCTTCCGCATGACACACAACATTGAAACAGCCCTGGGTGTGACTGGAGTAGAAGGAGTTTTCAGGCTTTCTTGTGAGCAGGTATGCTTCCTCCTTTTTTTGGGTACACTTTAATAAAGTAAGCAAACATATCTATTATTCTTACCTGCAAAATAAGATTTTCTTTTTGTAAGGAAAGTAACCACAAAACTAATGTAAAATTATTTATTTAAAAGTATTTTATTTATTTAAACAGGTTCTGCACATCATGCGACGTGGAAGAGAGACTTTGCTTACATTACTGGAAGCTTTTGTGTATGATCCCCTGGTGGACTGGACAGCAGGGGGAGAAGCAGGATTTGCTGGAGCTGTCTATGGTGGTGGTGGCCAGCAAGCTGAAAACAAACAAAGTAAAAGAGAAATGGAGAGAGACATTACACGAAGCCTTTTCTCATCCAGAGTAGCTGAAATTAAGGTGAAATAAATATGATAATGTATATCATATACTATATATGTTTGAATATATAGTTAAAAGTATGTCAGTGACTTGAACCACCACTACTACTTAAATATAACTGTTCACCTAAAGGTTCAGTATTGAAATCATATTATATATTACACAGGAATTTTGTTCAGTTGAAGTCTTAGTTAATACTGCTTTTTCTTCTAAAAGCACTATGCTAGTGAATCAAGTCTTTTAATTTACATCAGGTCCCTTGAAAAGAAAAAAAAATCTCCCAGTATTTTGTCAAGGGGCCATGTATTGTATTTACCTTCATTTGTTTAATTATTTACATATCATTTTTCTTCTACTGTCTGATAGTACATTTTGCTTTTTGTATGATTAAGTTAATGATGCTAAACTGTCTGAGTAAAATGGCTGTAAGAAGGCTTTCTAATAAGAATAATTTTTTTTTTTTTAGGTAAACTGGTTTAAGAATAGGGATGAAATGCTGGTTGTGCTTCCCAAGCTAGACAGCAGTTTAGAAGAATATCTGAACTTGCAAGAACAACTGACAGATGTTGAGAAATTACAAGGCAAGCTCCTTGAGGAGATTGAATTCCTGGAAGGAGCTGAAGGAGCTGATCATCCTTCTCACACTCTACAGCACAGGTATAAAAGAATTGTTGAATATTTGTTTATAAGTGTACTTTTTAATGCCCATGTGACTTTGTGCAAGGAAATCATTCTATCTCTCAGTTCTCTCATCTGTAAAATGAAAGAATTGGAATGGATATCCTCAGGTGTTCATTTCAGTTCTAAATTTGTCATCTATGAACCTGTGAATTTTTTTTTTCCATAGTTAGTATAGAGGAAAGACTACTAGAAATACTGCTGGAGAACTTGGGTTCAAATCCCTACTCTGCTACTTATTAGTACCTCAAATGAATTAACTTCTGTGGTCCGTAATTTCCTTAATTATAAAATGAGGAAGTTGGTCTAGATAACGGGGGGCCCCTGAGACCTTTTCATGGGAACCATGAGGTCAAAACTACTTTAATCCTACTAAAACATTATTTGCTTATTAAAATACTCCTCCCTTTTTCAGCTGCATATCTATGTGAGGCTATATTTTCAAATTTGCTTCTACTAAAACAGCACATTGTAGCAGGTTGAATGCAGAAGCAGATTTGAGGATCTAGCTGACTTCTTAAGCTAGATATTGAAGAGATTTGCAAAAAAATTGTAAAAACAATGCCAGTGTAATGATAAATATTCTAATAATTCATCAGTTTTTATATTTAATTTGGCAAATATGAATAGGTGTAACCCACATAAACAAAAACTCTTTGGAGTCTTCAATTTTTAAAAAAGGCCTTCAGACCAGAAAGTTGAGAACTTTTTGTATAGAGGAACATCACAGTAGAAAATCTCAGATCCCTTCCAGCTCTAAGTTTTTGATCCTTTGTTTAATACCAGCCTCATTTTAAATGATTAAAACAACGTAAGCACAAATCACAAAACTTTTTTTAAGTTGTCATCTTTTCAGCAATTGACTCTTATTCATCTAACATTAATTCAGAGGAAATATTTTTTCTTTGATTTCTTTAATTCAGGTACTCTGAACATACACAACTGCAGACTCAGCAAAGAGCTGTTCAGGAAGCAATCCAGGTGAAACTGAATGAATTTGAACAGTGGATAACACATTACCAGGCTGCATTTAATAATTTAGAAGCAACACAACTTGCAAGTCTTCTTCAAGAGATTAGCACACAAATGGACCTTGGTATGCTGCAGTTGTAATATATAAACAGTGTTGTATGACAGTGAAACATTTTCCTTGATGGTCTGCATTATGCTATTTCCTAAGTTACTGCTACAATTTAATTCCATTATATTAAGTTTTGCATTTTGTTTTATAGGTCCTCCAAGCTATGTACCAGCAACTGCTTTTCTTCAGAATGCTGGTCAGGCTCATTTGATCAGCCAGTGTGAACAGCTTGAGGGAGAGGTTGGTGCTCTTCTGCAGCAGAGGCGGTCAGTATTAAGAGGATGTCTTGAGCAGCTGCATCACTATGCAACTGTAGCTCTTCAATACCCAAAAGCGATATTTCAGAAACACCGAATTGAACAGTGGAAAGCTTGGATGGAAGAACTTATCTGTAACACAACAATTGAGCACTGTCAGGAATTATACAGAAAGTAAGTTATAGGCAACAGGGTAAAGTTGAGGGAAGTAAAAATTCTTGGCACATATTCTTAGTAAAAAAAAAAAATCAGTTAATCAAAAAACTTTATAGAAGGTTCACATGGGAAATTTTAAGTCACTTTTCATGGGCTTTTATTGTTCTTGTATTTTTTTATTTTAATTAAAAATAATAAATAGTGCTTTTCATGAGCAATTATAATTATGTCACAGATTCAAATCTGTGTCTTGTGATTGTTTTTTACAGATATGAGATGCAGTATGCTCCCCAACCACCTCCAACAGTATGCCAATTCATAACTGCCACAGAAATGACTCTCCAGCGTTATGCTGCGGATATAAATAGCCGACTTATCAGACAAGTGGAGAGGTTGAAGCAGGAAGCAGTTACTGTGCCAGTCTGTGAAGAACAATTGAAAGAAATTGAACGTTGTATTAAAGTTTTTCTACATGAAAATGGAGAAGAAGGGTCTTTGAGCCTAGCTAGTGTTATTATTTCTGCCCTTTGCACCCTTACAAGGTAAGTTAGATGTTTATAGGACCATGCTCTATGTTGAGACTATTAGATTGTAAACCCTAAAGGGGCAGGAACTAAATTGTGTTTCTTCTTTTTGTTCACAATGTTTTGTACAATATAGGTATTTAATGGTGCTTTGTGCTTTATGAACAGAAATTAGTTTATTTTTTATGTCAGTGCTCAATACATTGGTACCAGGTTGGTTTTATGCCTACTAATTTCATTGTAGTGCCTAATATTTTCAATAATATTACCAGGAAAAGGTCTGAAACACTCCGTCACATTTAATGTGGGCATCAATCAGAATATGTCTTCAGAGCACTCCTAAAGCCTTTTAGCTACCATTTCACCTGTGCTGCTGTAGGTATTGGCTCTGCTAATCTTTCTAGACCACCATGATGAAATTTACAAGGGGTGGGCCAATGACCCTCATAGTTTTTCACTTTTCCATGGTACAGGAGATAACCTGGGCATATATGCTCTCTCAGCCTTTTCACAAGTTCTGAAATCCTTTTATGAACTCATTGGTCCTAAATTAGGAGCCTAAAGGAGGACCTGTGCTGATGTGTTGCCTTTTTAATGGCCTCCTTTTCATTTCCTGAAGGTTGAAAGTTTTGTAGGATTTTTAGATCTGGAATAATTTATCAAAAGACTGACGGTGGAAATTTTGTATCTTTAAAATTGTCTAGATTTGAATAGATTGTCTACTCTAAATGTGACTTCTTCACATAATGCTTCAAATAACTGACTTTTGTGTCTAATATTGATAATTAATTTGTAAAGTCAGTGTACATTTTTTCTCATTATTTAAATATCTCATTTAGGCGTAATCTAATGATGGAAGGTGCTGCATCTAGTGCTGGAGAACAGCTTGTTGATCTCACTTCACGGGATGGAGCCTGGTTCTTAGAAGAACTATGTAGTATGAGCGGAAATGTTACATGTCTTGTTCAGTTATTGAAGCAGTGCCATCTGGTCCCACAGGACTTAGATATTCCTAACCCAATGGAAGCATCTGAGGCAGTTCACTTAGCTAATGGAGTATATACTTCACTTCAGGTAAAAAATTTCTTTATTTTACATCACTCTCATCTATTTTCTTTTCCGTGAATTTATGTTTTGTCGTGTTTTGTTTTTAATTCTTGTTAAGAAAGACTATTTCCTAAACAAAAGCATACTTGCCATTCATATTATTGAGTCAGCCTCATTTAAAAAAAATTTTTAACTTTGCTGTCAAATGAACTTTTTAGAAAAGGATAATTACAATCATTGATATAGAAATAAAACTTGCTTTATATATGCTTTCTCCTTTCATCACACACACACTCTCTCTCTTTCTCCCTCTCTTTCTCTGTCTCTCCCGGTGGGAAAGAGGTACAAGTTATTATCCTTATTTTATAAGAGAAGGTGCGAGAGCAGGGCCTAGAACCCAGGTTTCTGACTCTAAACCCTGTATTATTTCCAATATACCACAGCTGTGGCTATCTGAACTACAGTGAGAGTGAGGATTTTCATAAATCAGTTAAAATTGTGATCTCTTATGTAAATTTTAATCCCATGTTACAATCTGTTTGTGTGTCTAGTGAGAGACATTTTTGTTTACCCTAAGTCATATAAACTTACACTTTAAATATTGAACATATTTCTTAGTTCAAATTTACATAGCACTTTAAAGTTTGTAAAGCCATTTATCTGTATTGTCTCATTTCATCTATTATGTATATCATCCAGAAAATTAATGTAAGAATCCCTATTTAGACATCCATTTATAGTAAAAATTCAAATAAAAATTTTGTAACCATTGCAGTTTGACAATAGAATTTAGAAAGACACTGTTTTAAAGTTTTGATGTTGAAATGAAACCAAGCACTGTGAGTCATTGCCCTAATTAGTAATTACTGTTGCATTATTGTAGAAAACAGGTTTCTCCTTCATTCTCCAGATAGCTAGTGTATTGGTCCCTGAACCTATTTGATCACACCACCTTTGTCAATAAAAAGTTTTTTTAATACCCCTCCCCAAGAAAAAAATGTGTATATCTACTTGTTCATAGATTTTACACACAAAGACATTTTAAAATTATGAGATAAAGATGACATAAATTTTGAAAATATTAAAGTTTTAATGAGAAGATTATAATCGAATATGCTTCTTTATTTTTAAAAACTTTAGTTTAACATTTTGGGGTCCAGCAATTGAAAGATCTAGTTTTAAGTTCAGTTTATTTCTGTACTTGGATTTTTTTGTTGTCAATGCTAAAATAGATACCTCACAAAGATACATAGGTCCAAATGAAAGAAGTACATCATTGTACTTACTAAATCATACTCATTTTTAAATACCATCTACTCCATTATGCAAAGATTTTTGTTGAAATTCAGCTGTTATATTTCTATGTTCTCTGATGTCAAATCAATTCTTGCAAACTCATCAGAAAGTGTTGTATTTTTGTGTTTTTTAACAAATAAGTTCAAAACCCAGTAAACTCTTACCTGGGAAGATTTTTAACAAGTTAAAAAAATTCTTTTTCCACCTTTTTTTTAAGTGTGCAGATAGGAGTTTTTAATTGGTGATGTACTTAACAGTGCTTTTGAGAGACTATCCAGGAGAGGATGCTCATCAGTGTCACATTCTACAGAAATATCTAGAAGAATGAGGATTGAGAAAAGGCCTTCAAACTTGGCAATTAAGAGATCATTGGTAACTTTGAAGAGAGTTTCATTTGTGTGTAGAGTCAGGATAACAAGGAAGTTGAGGATATGAGAAATTGGTGGAATTTTCATTAGAAATGGAGGAATCTGAGATCTTCATTGTAGATCCTAACCCATTTGTGCCTGCTCAGCCTGGGTTCTTCACTCTTTCCCCCTAAAAAAATGAAAAGAGGTTGAGAAGAAGATTCCTCACTTACTGTCTTCCCACTGAGCTATCAGATAATCTGAAGTTCTGAGTGTGGGAGATGGAATTTTGCCCATGCAGCAACCATGGGAGGCCAACAGTCATAGTATAGAGTGGGGAGTATTCAGCTACATGATCAAAGGGGAGAGTTGTAAGATTTTTGAGTTGGAGATAGTCTATTCTGAAGAGGGTGAGCCAAAACTCATTCTCTTATCCTCCATTTGATTATGTACTCCTTGGTATGTCCCCATTTTGGAAAGCACTGAGTTAGTAGGATGTGACTGTTGAAATAATGCAAAAGTATTACTAAATGATGTTTGTTGTATGTTCATAGGAATTGAACTCCAATTTTCGGCAAATAATATTTCCAGAAGCACTTAGATGTTTAATGAAAGGAGAATATACATTAGAAAGTATGCTTCACGATCTGGACACTCTTATTGAACAAACAACTGATGGAGTTCCTTTACAGACATTAGTTGAGTCTCTTCAAGCCTACTTAAGAAATGCAGCCATGGGATTAGAAGAAGAAACACATGCTCATTATATAGATGTTGCAAGGTAAATGACTCTCTAATAATCCCTTCTCTTGTGCTTGAGAGAAAAGGTGGATAGAATAAAAGAATGTTCCTTTTAGCTTTCATTATTGATTTATAAGCATAAAAGTTACCTGGAAGATTTACATTTTATATTATGTATAGGTCCTACTGTTTATAATAAATATATTATGTATTTTATATAGAGATTTAAGAACATTCAAAACCAAATGCAGGATCAGCTGTTGTAGGATTCATCAGAATAAGTAAAACAATTAGTACATTAGAAAATTTATGAGATTTGCTTTAACTTTAAATTTGAGGTGGCAGAACTAAGTATTCCTTGTTCTTGCCATTCATTTTTTTCTCATCCCAATTCAGATATAATAGTCTTAATAATTTTTAATTACCTTGAATGTTTCTGTATTTTTGGAGAGGACCATTTACAGATTTTTGTGTATATATTCATAAGCATATTTGTATTACACATAAAATAAAAATGTGTGTGTGTACACACGTGAATAGTGTGGCATTTTTATGTTGGGGTTTTTGAGACTAGCTCTTTTGAGGCTAATTCATTCATTCCTTGGCATAGTGCCTACAATTTGGGTATCTGCCATCAAGTCACCAATGAAACTGGGCTTTGTTAGAGAGTTGAAAACTGAAAGAAAGAAAAGCACACTCTCAGTTAACAAGTATTAAGTACCATCTAGCCAATTAAGTCTTTTTCTTTCTTTCTTTTATATATCACTTTAATTTCCAGATATGTCCATTCTCATTTCCCTATTTAAAGAGCCATTCATTCTAACAATAACAAAGAATAAAAAATAAAGGTGGGAAGAGGGATCAGGGATTAAGTGCTCTTGAATGTAAAACCCAATACAGCACCCAAGTTTGACAACATGTATGTACAATGTTTCATTCCTGTATTCTGCCATCTCTGCAAAAAGGAAGGGGGAGGGTGAATTTTCTCATCTCAGAGATCAGTCTGTGTCATAATAATTGGACAGCAGACTTAAAATCCTCAGAACTAAACCAGTTCTTATTTCCTTCAATCCCCTTGGAAGACATTGAAGTTCTGAAGGAACACTTGTTTCTTCTCCCTCTATTGAATTGTTAGTACTACATCATCATACATCCTCTTCCAAATTGCTCTTACGTTTGTATTTCAGATTTCTTGCTCAGCTTTGGTCTTTTCATCTGAAATACTTAAAAGTTCTGTATTCCATTAAAAGCCCCCCCCCCTTTTTTTTCCTTGTAGAATTCCACTCACCTTGATAAGTTAAATTATTTTTATATTGTAAATGCCTATCTGTTGCCTTTTGGAATGTCGTATTCCATTTTCTCTTAATATAGTAGAAACTTTCATGTCTTACATTGTTCTGATTTTGGTGTCTTAGTACTTGGGGCACTTTATGCTTGCAGTGTTTTTTGTTTGTTTTGTTTTTTCCTTTGATGTGAGAGTTCTGGATTTGGGCTATGATATTTATTCCTGAAACTTCCTTTTGAGGTTTCTTTCTGGTGATGATAAATAGATCTTTTTTTTTTTTTCCCACTCCACTTTGTCCTCTGGTTCTAATTGATCTAGGATGTTGCTTCTTTTCTTCTAGGTATTCAGATAGTCCTTGTAGAAAGTCCATTTTTTTTTCCCCTTTGAACCTCTGCTTGCACTTGTTGTAGAGTTCCTTTCTTTTCCTGGGCTGAATTTTATGGATCTCTACATTTGTCCTATTTTATACTGGCCGGTGTTTTCTTTGACTTACCCATGTCTTCAGTTTTAGTTCCTGAATTAGGGTTTTGTGCCAGGGCCAGGCTGTACCCCTTGTTGTACTTTTTTGGGTGTGGAGTTCAGCCACCGAGATCTTTAAGTTTCAGAGTGCTGGATTTTCTCTAACCATCTCAGTACATGGGACCTTATAGTCCCTGAGTCAGGAGAATCTTGGTCTGAACGTGACCGCTGCCATTCCCAAGTTCCCATTTTAGAGCTTTCTTCTCCCCCTGGGGCTTTTTTGAGGTAGCTCTCTGCCTTTGTTGCCTCCAAACACAGAACCTTGCAGGCTGTTCGTGTTCTTGGCAGTTCTGGGAGTCTGTTCTATACTAGCAGGCTCCCTTTTCTATTGCCCTTAGGCTTGTGCTTTCCTTCTTTTGCAGTTTTGGGATGAAAGAAGTCAGTCTAAATTGCTTGATCATTATGCAATCTGGTGCAAATTGCAGGGTTTTATTAGAATAGATATGTCTGATATGGGTAATTTCCCTCCCCATTCAGGCAGCTGTCTTGGCCACACATGGATCTTATATGTGTGGATGGGAGGAATGGAGGGTGGGGAGAAAGAATAAAAAACCCTAAAAGTATTGTATACTATTTTTTAAAATGTTTTTAACTTTAATATTCAAGTTACACATCCATTTTTAGCTTACTGTCATATATGGTTTTCTTTCAAATTCTTGTGACATAGAGATTTCTTTCACCAAGTAATTTATGTTCTTGAGTTTATTGAACATTTGGTTATTGAGTTTGTTTCTGATTCTTTTCCTGTCCAGTCAGTTGCACTGATCTAATTTTCAGTTTTTTTAAACCAGCACCAAATTGTTTACTGCTTTATAGTATAATTTCTTCTTAATTCGTATTGCTTTTTCCATTATTCCTTTTGAAATTCTATATCTTTTGTGTACAGCTCTTGTTCTGAGTTTCAGAGCAATCCTCTAATGCTAGCATTGATTGTTTTGTATCTTGCTTGAATTACCAGAGGAAAAGGATATTATTTCTTTTCTACTCATCTTAAAGGTAACTTTAGGCCTCCCTGCCCTAATAACTTTTTAATATCAAAAAAAAACCGAAGTAAATTGCAATTTTTCCCACTAGCTTTAGCTGGAAGAAGAAAAGATTTGATTTGCCCTCAAATTCATGCTTATTAAATCTGATCCTGGTCTCTCATACAAGAATAAACTGGTAAATTTAGGGTAAAATTGAACTTCAAGATCTCGAACAGAAGTCTGTCAACCAAGTAGCATGTATGAAAGACATTCACTGATTAGAGCAATAATTAATTTTTAAACAGAGGTGCCCTCTCCTTTTTTTTCCCCCCCTCACCACTCTCCCAAAATAACCCCATATACATTACATGTACCATATTAAGTGGCAGAAATGTTTTTTTTTTAATGTTGACAGTTTACTGATACATATCATTTGCATACATATCATAATAGGTGATTTTTTTTCATGTGCCTTGCACATAACAAGGTCTCAGTAAATCATTCTAAAATACATTGAGTACAGCAATTTACAACTCCTCAATTAGGAATTTTAGGCTTAAAAAAGGCTTTTTTTAGGTTCTTTTAAAATAGTATCATTTACTTCATTAGCTTTGCTTTCTGTGCAAAGGATTTTTCAAATCAGTAGTTAGCAATCACTTGAGAAATAGATAGCTATACTACATGAAAGGTAGTCTGGAGGAAGTAGATTCCTTCTCACTAATAGTTTGTCCATAAAGGCAAGATGACTAATAATTAGACTGTTTATTTAGGTACAGGCTGAACTGGGTATCCTCTAAGGTCCCTTCAGACTTTTGTTTTAGTAAAACTCAAGGCAGTTGGCATACTCCACTCCTATTTTATCAATGCAGTCAGTTAGTGAGATAGCAGAATCCAGCCTGTCTTTTTTTGTCCCAAAAAATCATTATCCATAGACCAAAATCTTACACGAAAAAACCAAAATAAAGTCAAAATGGGTACACAATTTAGATATAAAAGCTGATACTATAAGCAGACTGGGAGAGCAAAGAATAGTTTGACTGTCAAATTTATGGAGAAGAAAAGAATTTATGGCCAAACGAGATAGAGAACATTATGAAATGTAAAATGGATAATTTTGATTACATTAAATTGAAAAGGTTTGCATAAACAAATCCAATGTAACCAAGATTAGGAGGGAAGTAGAAAACTGGGAAAGAATTTTTACAACCAGTGTCTCTCATAAGGGACTCATTTCTAAAATATATAGAGAACTAAGTCAAATTTATAAGAATACAAGTCATTCCCCAATTGATAAGTGGTCAAAGGATATGAACAGGCAATTTTCAGATGAAGAAATTAAATCTATTTATATATATATATATAATATTAAATATATATTAAATATTAAATACATATTAAATATATTATTATATATAATATATTTAAATTATATAAATATATATTTATATAAATCTATATGAAAAAATGCTGTAAATCACTATTGATAGAGAAATGCAAATCAAAACAACTCTGAGGTACCACATCACACCTATCAGATTGGCTAACATGACAAAACAGGAAAATGATAAATGTTGGAGAAGATGTGGGAAAATTGGAACATTAATGCATTGTTGGTGGAGCTGTGAACTGATCCAGCCATTCTGGAGAGCAATTTAAGGGCTATAAAAATATGCATACCCTTTGACCCAGCAGTAGCACTTCTAGGGCTGTATCCTGAAGAGATCATAAAAATGGGAAAAGGACCCACATGTATAACAATATTTATAGCAGCTCTTTCTGTGGTGGCAAAGAATTGGAAACAGAGAGGATGCCCATCAATTGGGGAATGACTGAACAGGTTGTGGTAGATGAATGTAATGGGGTACTATTGTGCTATAAGAAATGATGAACTAAGGGGCAGCTAGGTGGCACAGTGGATAGAGCACCAGCCCTGAAGTCAGGAGGGCCTGAGTTCAAATGCGGCCTCAGACCAAACACTTGACACGTCCTAGCTGTGTGACCCTGGGCAAATCACTTAACCCCAATTGCCTAAAAACAAAAAAAAAGAAAAGAAAAGAAATGATGAACTAATGGACTTTAGAAAAACCTGGAAAGACGTGTATGGACTGATGCTGAGTGAAGTGAGCAGAACCAGGAGAATGTTATACACAGTAACAGTCACATTGTGTGATGACTAACTGATAAATTTAGCTCTTCTCAGCAATGCAGGGGTCTAAGACATCTCCAAAAGTCTCATGATGGAAAATGCTATCCACATCCAAAGAGAGAACTATGGAGTTGGAATACAAATCAAAGCATACTGTTCGCGCTTTTTTTTTCTTCTGTTTTGATTTGTTTCTTCTTTCTTGTGGTTCCTTCTGTTGGTTCTAATTCTTCTTTACAACATGATTAATGTGAAAATGTGTTTAATAGGAATGTATATGTAGAGCCTATATCAGATTGAATGCCATCTTGGGGAGGAAGATGGGGAGGGAGAGAGAGAAAAGTTAAAACTCAAAAGCTTATAGAAGTGGTTGTTGAAAACTAAAAATAAGTTAATTTTTTAAAAATCATTATTAAACAAGCATTTAGTAAGCACCTAATATGTGCCAGGAGCTGTTAGGTATTGAGGATATAAAGACAAAGACAAAGCAATCTATCATTCTACATTCTATCCTGTGTATACTTAGAGTCAGGTTATATGGTTTCTTTTCTAATTGTTGAGGTATAGGTGAAGTAAGTCCTTTGATGAAATTTAATAAATTTCTGCTTTGGTTAACAGTAAAGGTCCTTGAGCTGTTTTAATTTCCCATTCTTTTAATCAGGATACTGCATTCTCAGTATGGTGAATTGATTCAACCAAGAAATGGTTCAGTTGATGAAACTCCCAAAATGTCAGCTGGTCAGATGCTTTTAGTTGCTTTTGATGGAATGTTTGCCCAAGTTGAAACTGCTTTTGGCTTATTAATTGAAAAGGTAAGTGTTAACTTTATTTTAGGAATTAAATATATGCAGCAAATATTTGAGTGAATGGATGTGGGGAAAATGGAATGAAATATATATGTATTTTTTTTAATTGACAGCTAAATAAGATGGAAATACCTGTAGCTTGGCGTAAGATAGACATTATAAGGGAAGCCAGGAGTACCCAAGTTAATTTTTTTGATGACGATAATCACCGGCAAGTGCTAGAAGAAATTTTCTTTTTAAAACGATTGCAGACAATTAAAGAATTCTTCAGACTCTGTGGTACTTTTTCAAAAACATTGTCAGGTAAGTGTTTCATATTTGCAAAATATTGTTGAACTTGGTTGAGTCCTAAATTACCCCTTTCTGTTGTAGGTATGTGGGTTTGTTTTTGGTTTGGGTTTTTTGTGAAGTTTCATTTAGTATTTTATATGACCTGCCATCTGTTTTTTTTTTCTTTTTCTTTTATTTATTTATTTTGGACACTGTTTTATCTTTGACATCCAACTTTCTTAAATTCAGTAGAATATTTTTCTTTTTTAGGGTCAAGTTCACTTGAAGACCAGAATACTGTAAATGGACCTGTACAGATTGTCAATGTAAAAACACTTTTTAGAAACTCTTGTTTTAGTGAGGACCAAATGGCAAAGCCAATAAAGGCATTTACAGCAGACTTTGTGAGACAGTTATTAATTGGACTCCCAAATCAGGCCTTGGGTCTTACTCTTTGCAGTTTCATCAGTGCTTTAGGAGTAGATATAATTGCTCAAGTAGAAGCAAAAGACTTTGGCGCTGAAAGCAAAGTTTCAGTTGACGATTTGTGTAAGAAAGCAGTGGAACATAACATACAAATTGGAAAGTTTTCTCAGCTGGTCATGAACAGGGCAACAGTACTAGCCAGTTCATATGACACTGCTTGGAAGAAACATGACTTGGTTCGAAGACTAGAAACCAGTATTTCATCTTGTAAGACAAGCCTCCAAAGAGTACAGCTGCATATTGCCATGTTTCAGGTAAATCACATTAGATTTTAAAGGTTCACATAAACTTCTGTCCCTGGTAGTTTGGACTGATTTTCTCAAAATAAGTGGCACAAAATTTAAGCCAACAGTTCAAAAGAAAGAAACCTATCAAAGATTCTGCCTTATCCTCAGTTTGCTTCTTTAGAGATTTGTGCACCTAAGATATATTGTATCATTTCACCCAGTACATCATACATGCTTATGCTGCCATGAATATTTTTAAACAGTTTTTACAAGGATTGCCAATTAATTTTAAATTCCTTTTTTTCCCTTCCCTGAAATAGTGGCAGCATGAAGATCTCCTTATTAGTCGACCACAAGCCATGTCAGTTACACCTCCACCCCGTTCTGCTATTTTAACCAGTATGAAAAAGAAACTCCATACACTGAGTCAGATTGAAACTTCAATTGCAGCAGTGCAGGTATGTTGTGCCAACCTTCATGTTTTTTCTTCAGGGTATCTAAACATAGTAATTTCATCCATGATTAAATGAGTAGATGTCTGTGTTGAATTCTATCAGCAAGTATATCCCATTTATTAAGTAAGTGTAACAGATAATTATATTTTCCATTGTATTGTTGAACTATCTTCATATGTAAATTTTGAGCATGGGAGAGAACCAGATTGTGAATTCTATAAATTGCTATCTTTAAATGGAATCCTTGTGATCTGAAAGACTTCATGTATATTGCGAAGTGTGAAATTGCTAGAACAAAATTGTTTTTAATGAAATTTTCTTTGAACTCTAAGCCTTTGTTTTGTGTGGTTTATTTTCAAATTATACATGAGGTTTGGGCACTTATTTCCTGAGTTTTACAGATAAGGAAATTGAGAGTGGTTAACTCACTATTTTTAAATAGGAATTTTAATGCTGTGGTTTAAGAGTGAATAAAATACTATCTTCTGAGCTGATGCATAACTATACTGCTTCCTTCACTGTTTTTTTCAGTAATACCATCTTTCCTCAGTTTTTGCATATTTGCAACCATTTGAGACTATCTTTTATTCTTCCTCTCCCTTGCTTCTCATATCTAATTAATCACCATATCCTATTGATTTTTCTTTTGAAATATCTCTTGCATCTTTTCCCACTACCACTACTACTCTACTGTAGGTCCTCATTACCACCCACTTAGACTATTGGCAGTATTCTCTTATGAAGTCTTCTTGATTATGTTCTTTTCCTCCCTTCTCAAATCTACCATTCATTCTCCTATCAGAATCATAATTCTTATGTATGTATCTAGTTATGTTACTTATGTATTACAGTAATCTTTGCCTGTCACTTCCTCATACTGCCTTCCTGAAAGGCCATGGACTCTTCCTGTGGACCAGGGGCTCTTAACCTCTTTTGTGCTGTGCATCCCTTTGGCAGTTTGGCAAAGTCTGTAGACCCCTTCTCAGAATAATGTTTTTAATTTTTAAATGCATTAAATAAAATATGTAAGAATACAAAGAAAACCATTATATTGACACAATTATCAGAAATATTTTGGTGAATGTACTTGAGAGTTCATAGACTGGTTAGGACTCTCAATCTAGACTTTGTATCATCCTAAGCACCTAGCACAGTATTCCACAGAGAGGTACATGATAAATGTTTGTTGATAAATAAATCTTGTTTTGAACATTCTGTATGGTGCCCAGTATTGGCACTATTGGGATTGTATAGTTGTATTGGTATTTTTAAAAGAAGCTACTTTTTTTTTTTTAAATTTCCAGGAGAAACTAGCAGCACTTGAAGCAAGTATTGAACAGCGTTTGAAATGGGCAGGTGGGGCCAATCCTGCATTGGCCCCAGTCTTGCAAGATTTTGAAGCAACGATTGCTGAAAGAAGGAATCTTGTCCTTAAAGAAAGCCAAAGAGCAAGTCAGGTATGTTGAATTGCATTTTGTTTGTATTCTACTGTGATATTGGAGAAGCTTTATATTTGATATGTAACACAAAAGTCCTTTTGGGTTATTATCCTGTTCTTCCCCTGTCATGTGCCCATCTCCCCTAGTCATCTGAAATTGGAGCTAGTAGGTTGTAGTAATACACTTCCTTAACAGTGAAGTATAGTCTGCAACCTGCTGATAAGTCAGTAGATTATAGCCATTCTCCTAAGGCTCTTATTAGAGGTAAGTACAATTTTAATTAATCCTTTATCAGGTTACAACCAGTAATCGGAAACATAATGCAAACTTTTGCAATATTGGGAGTATTCTTTCTCTCTAGTATAGCCATCTTATTTGTATCACACTATACTGACAGCACCCCAGTCAGCAAGCATTAATTAAGCATCTGCTTTGTGCCAGGCACTATATTAAGTATTGGGATGCAGAGAAAGGCCAAAAAAAACCCAAAATAAGATATATACAGGATAAAAATAGGTAATTTCAGAGGGAATGTACTAAGATGTTTACTCTCTGCTTTTTTTGTTTTGCTTTATTTCATAGATCATTCCATATTATTTACATTTCTCATATTTGAAAGTCTTAATTTTATTAGTAGGCTTACATCGATAAGCCACAGTTTGACTGTTTTCCAACTGTTAGATATTTAAATTGCTATTAAACATCTTTGATCGAAGAACTTTTTTTCTTCTTTATAAACGAAGAGTCTGTTTCTAAATATTGAGTCAAAGAGTATGATTTTTAAAAATAACTCTTGCAGTGTCTTGCCAAATTGTTCAGCAAAAATTAACCTCTAACATGAGTGTTCATTTTTGTCTGAAATCCCTACCATCTTTGATTTTTGACTTTTTTTTTTATCAGTCTCTGTCAGTGTTGTATGAGTAAGGGTAGTACTTCAGCATTTTTAAAATTTATATTCCTTTGATTATTAGGTACTTTGAGTGTTTTTTAATGACTTTTATTTGTATCTTCTTTTAGAAACTAAATGCCCCATTTAAATCAGTTTCACATTTATTTTTTTCTATTCCATTTGTGGCCTGAATTTTCCCTAAATTTGCTGGTTCTCTCTCTTACCTTGAGTAAACTGCTCAATTCTACAGAATGTTTTTTTTATGTAATTAAAGCTGTTTACTTTGTTTCTTACTATAATTTATTTGAATTTGTTCAATAGATGAAAATGTATCTCCTTTCCATAGGTGAGATAGATTCCATTTTCTTCTAATTTTCTTTCTGATTCTGGTATTTGATTCATTTTAAATTTTTGTCTACTATATGTAATCCAGTATTTTAGCAGTATATATGAAATAAATCCTTTTCCCCAGTTTTTATTTACTGTAGGATTATCAAATGCTTATCTTCATAGATTTCTTCTTTAAGTTTTATTTTTAAATTCTTTATTTTTAAAACTTTTTTTTAACAGTTTTTGGTGCAAACACCAAATAAAATGAGCATTTCCATGTACAGAGTAGAATAGAAAAAGGATAGTGCATGAAATTGTAGCTCTGTTACATATAGTTTTTTTGGTTCAATTTATGGAATCTCTGCTCTTCCATTGTGTGCATATTTTTGCACTCAAACGCACTTTCTTCTATTTTATATAGTACCAGGTAATTTTGATGGTTTTGGCTATATATAATACAATTTAAGTCAAGAAGGGTCAAATCCACCTTTCAGCTCAATGTTCCTCTTACTATTCTTTGCTAAACAGCAGGCAAAACTGTTTAATTTTTTAACTGTTTAACAGTTTAATATAAAGGCAGAAATTTTGTTTGATGGTAAATTATAGCTATGTAAATAGCAACCTGCATAGAAAATGTCTACACTTAAAGCAAACAAGGGGCCCTTCCGCCTGCTACACTTTAACTTTTGTGGGCATTTGGAGAAGTAAACATCATCTCTTCCCTAATTGGCTTTAAAATCCAGTTTTGTCTGACAGGGATTTCATGAACCAAACTGCCCCAGCTAGCATTTGGATGAAGGAGGTCATAGTGGTGGACTATGAATTGAAGAAGACAAGGTTAAGCAAAAGTATTAGAGCATTAAAAATGGAAATAGAAGATTATGTGATTAATGGAAGATCTGAATTCATATTACCTTGAAGCAAGGTGCTTCCTCTCTCTGGCCTCAGTGTGCTCATTTATAAAACAAAGGGTTTGGACTAGATGACCTTTAGGGACCCTTTCTACTCCTAAATCTATGATTTTGTGAATTTTTGCTCTAAGAAATGACCTTTCATTTCAAAAGATTATTTACAACCACTAAAAATTTTTACAAAAACCTATCAGGTATAAAGTATTTAACGCCTTTGAACTTATTTGGAATGATCACCAATTCTAAATTTTCCTGTTTAATGGGAATGTTAAAGAAATAGGAGATGAACTGGTAGTTATTGACTGGAATACTTCTCTCAGTTTTGTTCAGTTGTTTTCAGTGGTGTCCACTGTTGTGTAACCCCATTTGGAGTTTTCTTGGCAAAGATATTGGAGTGGTTTGCCATTTCCTTTTCCAGCTCTTTTTACAGATGAAGAAATTGAGGCAGTCGAGGTTAAGTGACTTGCCCAGAGTCACACAGCTACGAAGTATCTGAGGCCAGATTTGAATTCAGGTCATCTTGACTCCAGGCCTGGTGCTCTATCTACTATGCCACCTAGCTGCCCATACTTCTCTCAATAGCTTCTACCTACATAGCTAAATATGTCTGTGGTATTTCTCCTTTAGAAGTGAGATTCTTTTAAAAAGTGAAATTGAGACTAACTTTTTGGGTAATTCAGATTTCTGTTTATAATCTTGTTAATTTATTTATATTCACTTATATTCACTCTTTTCCTTCATAGGTAACTTTCCTCTGCAGCAATATTATTCATTTTGAAAGTTTAAGAACTAGAACTGCAGAAGCCTTAAACCTGGATGCTTCATTATTTGAACTTATCAAACGCTGTCAGCAAATGTGTTCATTTGCATCACAGTTTAACAGTTCGGTTTCTGAGTTAGAACTTCGTTTACTACAAAGAGTGGTAAGTGTTGAATTTTAAGAAAGAAAAAATGAATTCTTTAAAACTATGTTCCCAAGTTAATTGACTAATTGTTGTAGTCACAAGTTTTGCTATTTCCCATTAGACCTGTTCTAAATTATGTATTCCTTTACATATTTTTTTTTTAATACAGCAAGTGGTAAATTTGAATATTACAAAGTCTGGCAGTAAGTAATAGGTACAGTGCTGAAATTTGGGCATTCTTTTAGTGGGCTACCTAATGTGTAATTAGATAGTCATAATCTGTGGTAGCATTTGGACAGTGTAACCAACATAGTTCAGTTAGACAGTTGTTAAAATTGTGTTTTAATTATGATGGTCAAAGACATTTTTATTTCAATTGATTCTTAAAAGAATTTTTTTTTTTTTTTTTAGGGTACTAATCTTGAACATGCTATTGGCAGCTCTGAGTGGCTTTTGTCAGCACACAAACAACTGAGTCAGGACATGTCTACTCAGAGGGTAGTTCAGACAGAGAAAGAACAACAGATAGAAACTGTCTGTGAAGCAATTCAGAACCTGGTTGATAACATTAAGACAGTCCTCACTGGTCACAACAGGCAACTTGGAGATGTCAAGCATCTGCTAAAAGCAATGGCCAAGGTAAGACTGAAGACATGATATTGGAGTTTTATGGTTTTTAAACAAAACCTATTCTGTATTTTAAATAAGCTTAAGTAAACCTCATTGCAGAGACATTTCTTTTCACATGAAGTGTTAAACTCACTATTTTTGAAGACTTTAAGGCTTAATATTTTTTTTTCTCCTTTTGTGGCATGGAAGAATACTATAATACTAAGAAAGTAAGTACCATAGAACAGATTCTAAAGACTCATAGGGTCAGAAAGATTAGAGATGATCCAGTTTAACTCTTCCATTCATCAGCTATTTATTTTTCTCGCACCTCATAGGTGCAAGAAACCCCTGCTCTTATGGGCACTCTCATGGGTCAAATCTAGCCTGCCTGTTTTTGAATAGCCAGTGAACTAAGGATGATTTTTGCATTTTTTAAAATGCAGCTTTTTTGGATTTGGGCCCAGACTTGGCCTAGGAACTGTAATTTCTTGACCCTTGCTCTCGTAAAATGAGGAAATCAAATCCTGGAGAAGTTATGACTTCCCCATTTATTAACCTAGGTCACACAGCTAATGACAGACACAGAACTAGAAACATTTGGGGAAAATTTATTTAGAAAAATTTATTCTTCCATTTAGGATATTATCCACATTCAGAAAGAGAACTGATGAACTCTGAGTGCAGATTGAAGTTTTTTTCTCATTTTGTTTTTTTCTTGTCTTTTTTTAGGGGGGCATGGGGTGGGAAAGAGGCAGCATGATATGTTTTGCATGACTTCATATGTATAATGAGTATCATATTGCTTGTCTTCTTGGTGGTGGAGTAGGTGCTAGAGAGAGGGAGAGAATTTGGAACTTAAAATTTTTTAAAAAATGAATATCATTTAGGATATTTAAAAAAAAGGGTATCTGTTAGATTGCCAGTGGAAATTGAATAGTCTTTGTTGTTGTTCAGTCATTTTCAGTTGTGTGTGTGATTGATCGTGATGCAATTTGAGGTTTTCTTGGCAAAAATACTGGGGTGGTTTGCCATTTCTTTATCCAACTCATTCTGCAGATGAGGAAACAAGGTTAAGTGACTTGCTTAAGGGTCCCATAGCTAGTAAGTGTGTAAGGGTAGATGAGTCTTCTTGACTCCAGGCCCAGCACTTTATCCTGTGCCAGCTAGCTGCCCTTGAATGGTGTGTATATCACTAAATTATTGCATTTTGTGTTGTATTTTTAAGTCAATTTTTTTTTTGGTTCTGTGATAGAAAAATAAAACTTTGAGAGATCCATTATTTTTTATTAAGGTATATAAGAAAAAGAAATAGCAAGATAGAAATATATCTTAATGTTTTCATTTCAGGATGAAGAAGCTGCACTGGCAGATGGTGACGATGTTCCTTATGAAAACAGTGTCAGGCAGTTCTTAGGGGAATACAAATCATGGCAAGACAACATTCAGACAGTATTGTTTACATTAGTTCAGGCTATGGGTCAAGTGCGCAGTCAGGAGCATGTTGAAATGCTGCAAGAAATAACTCCCACTTTGAAAGATCTGAAAACACAAAGTCAGAGGTAAGAGTGGTTTCTCAGTCACTGACTGAGTAAAAATGTAAGCAAACCTTAAATAATTTATCTGGTCGTCTTTAAATTCAAATTAAAGCATTTTTTTACTGCATCAAAAATCTTCTAAATGATTTTGGAATTTACATATTTAACTCTTGCTCTAAAAATAGATTTTATGAGTGTGTATTTTTATTTTTATCTTTCAGCATCTACAATAATCTAGTGAGTTTTGCATCACCCCTAGTCACAGATGCAACAAATGAATGTTCAAGTCCAACATCATCTGCTACCTATCAGCCAACCTTCGCTGCAGGTATTCCTTTGTGATTGGGGGGAAAGGGAGAAGAAAAAAAGTTGAAATCAGATTTTTTTTTTTTTTTTTTTTTTTTTTTTGGTGAGGCAGTTAGGGTTAAGTGACTTGCCCAAGGTCACACAGCTAGTACGTGTCAAGTGTTTGGTCTGAGGCTGGATTTGAACTCAGGTCCTCCTGACTTCAGGGCCGGTGCTGTATCCACTGTGCCACCTAGCTGCCCCTGAAATCAGATATTTTAAATTAAGAACTTGTATAAATATGTTTTCTAGATAGTAATGTGGCCAGTTTGCATAGTATATGTGATACTCCTATTCAGCCACCCTTTGTAGGGAAAGGAATCCTTCCAAAACAGGCAGCTAAGCCAACTTTCAAAATAGTCAATTCAATGTGTAAATAATTCGTGCCAAATAAACTTTTTAAAGTTTAGAATGAAATTATATTAATGATAGGGAGTGGAAGGACATTGAGGCCAAATTTCTTAGTTTGTATCAGCTGAAGATTTTTGTTCATTCAATTTAAATAATAGTATCAACTCTCATCTTTAAAGCAGTACGAAGCAACACTGGCCAGAAGACTCAGCCTGAAGTTATGTCACAGAACGCAAGAAAGGCAATTCAGAAAAATCTTGCTACATCAGCAGATACTCCACCAAGCACAGTCCCAGGAACAGGCAAGAGTGTTGCTTGTAGTCCTAAAAAGGCAGTCAGAGATCCTAAAACTGGAAAAGGTAATTAGTTACTGTAAAGTTCTCTTTTGGTGTACTTTAATTCTATGTATTTTAAAAATGGTGGTTTGAATATTTGCGATTTCATTTTTTTTTCAGCTGTGCAGGAAAGAAACTCATATGCAGTGAGTGTGTGGAAGAGAGTCAAAGCCAAATTAGAGGGGCGAGATGTTGATCCTAACAGAAGGATGTCTGTTGCTGAACAGGTGACTCTTAAAAAAAGCAAAAATGTGGAACTAGAAATTGTTATATTGCTGGAAAAATACAGTTTTGTTTCTCCAGTCCAAGAAGTATTTATTGAGCACCTATTTAAGTTACAAAACTAGTATCAAAGGTCTAAAAGCAGTTAACATTTAGGTTAATGTTTTAAATCAATATGATTTTTAACTGCCTGTCTCAAAATGATGAAAAGGCAAAAATGTTTCATTGATACATCTCCTTTGAGTACCTTCCCACCTTTTCATTTGTACTGCTTCGCTGTTGATTAATGGTACCTTTTATGTTGTGACATTTTCTCTCTCTCCTCTTTCCCCCCCTTTTTTTTCCATTTCAAAGAGGACTTTGTTGAACACCTTGAGTGATGATTTGATTGATACTTTGAGGCAATGGTATCCATTTCACTTGCCACCTGATCCCACTAGACAGAAATTCATATTGCTAGCAGATTACTCATTGTTATGCCTATGAAGTGTTATATCAATAACCTTTCTTTATTGGTCTTTTAAAAGTAACAGTATGTGAGGTTAGAAGCTGAGCCCAGTAGCACTATGCTTATTATGTTGCACAGTAGGTTGCTGAATAGGATTATCATATATTATGCAATGCCAGCTTGCAACAAACTTGTGACACTCTGTATACTTATTTTTCTCAGATTTATTTTTATTTAAAAAACAATAGTTTTTCAAACATATGGTGAACATATCTGTACATAGAGGCAGCATGGTACTAAAGAAACAGTGATTTTTCAGTCAGCAGACCTGGATTCTAATTCTAATTCTAATTCTGCCTCTGTTCTTAACTATGTAATGTGACTTTAGGCAAGTCCTCTAACCTCCCTAGGACCTTAGGTTCATCATCTGTAAAACGAATGGACTAGATATTCTGAAGTTTACTTCCAGCTCTATATCTAGGATCCTAGAACAGTATTTTTAAGGGATTAGTTATTATTTAGTGAAGGTTCTTGGCAGGGTGGTAGGGAGACAACAGTAAGGTGTATTGAAAAGAGTGCTGGATTTGGAGGGAAGACTTAGGGTTGAATTCTGGCTCTGCTACTATTTTTGCTACTGTTCCTGAAGTCAAGTCATTTAATGAAGCCCAATTTTGGGCCTCAGTTTCCTCATTTGTAAAATGAGGGGATTGGAGATGATCTCTGAAGTACCTTTTAATATTTATTTTGAACTTGCTTACTAGATCTGGAGGTCATACTTTCTTCTTTTGTTACTTTTTTCCTTTTATTTGTTATGTTCGAGGTTTTTTAAGTTTTCTTCTTCTGAAATCTTTGGTACTTTCAATCTTTTTCCCCCCTTATTTTCCTTATGACTCACTTTCTGGCTCCTCCCCATTATAGTTTCCTTAGGAAATAACTGAGAGCATCTTGGTCTCTTCTCACATTGGGCAATTCAGAGTTCACCAATTAGGTCTCTGCCCTGACTTTTGGGTGGTCAGAACTGACCCCCAGTTTGAAACCTGCTTTCCCTGCTACAGGCAGTTCAGAGCTTTGCAGCACTGTTGTTTCAGTGTTGCAGCCCCTTGAGCTTTTGTTTGTGGCCAGGCTGGTTGTCACAAGACCCAAACAAACTTCTAGAGCTGGGGTCTCTACAGCACTGAAAAGAAGGAATGGGGTGCAGGAGTGGGTTTGATGTAAGTCCATGTCATACTTGCATCTCCTAGTGGAGCTTCACTGCCACTAGCGTGGGAAATAGGGGAGAGGTGCTGAGTGACCTCAGGGTCAGTGATTATCAGTTCGTGGGTTTGGTTTGTTTTGTTTTTTTAACCTTTCCTTTGGATTCTGGTTGTCCTAGATCAGAGATTCAGCTGAAATTGCTTTATCTTTGAAGCATAACTTCTTTTTTTGAGAGGTTGTGGGGATCAGAGAAAATGTCTAGTGCACCATCTTATTGTTCCTAGAACCTATAAGTCCAAGACTAGTTATCTTGAAATGCTCATCACAAAGCATTATAGGATTATGCTCATTAAAAATTTAAATACAGCCTGTTAGGATTCCATTTTTAATTAAAAAAATAGACAGTAAGAGAGAAACTATCAATAATGTTCATTATTTCAAAGATAATTTTTACATTATTCATTTCTAGAAATGAATAATGTAAATGAGACCTCAATGCCCCATGCCTCAACAATTCCACTAGCATTCTTGTTGATATCCCTGCCTGAAGTCTTTCCCCATTCTAGTCCATCTTCCACTCAACTGCCAAACTGGTCTTCCAAAAACACAGATCTAACTGTATCTCTCTGCTACTCAGTAAATTTTACTAGTAAATTCCAATTACCTCCAGTATCAAACATAAAATCAAAATCCTCAGTTTAACTTTTAAAGCCCTTCACAATATGGCTTCTTCCTACCTTTCCAGTAGTCTTATAAATTTACTCCTCTCTACCTTCTCCAATTCAATGACACTGGCCTCCTTGATGATCCTTAAACACGACTGTCCGGTGCAGCTAGGTGGTGCAGTGAATAGAGCACCAGCCCTGAAGCCAGGAGGACCTGAGTTCACACCTGGCCTCAGACCCAACACTTGACACATCCTAGCTGTGTGACCTTGGGCAAGTCACTTAACCCCAATTGCCTCACTAAAAAAACAAAACACGACTTTCCATTTTCTGATTCATATTACTTTTACTGGCATGCCCCTCATGCCTGGAATGTGCCTCTCTCCTCACCTCCACCTCCTGGCTTCCCTGAAGTCTCAACAAAAAGCCCACCTTCTAGGAAGACCTTTCCTGGTCTTCATCATTTTCCCTCCCTTCCTCTTCTACCCACCCCCACTCCCAGACTGTCTTTAAATCCACAGCATTTAACATAGTGCCTGATAGATGCTTGATAAGTGCTTCTTGAAAATGTACTGGGAGTCATGCTGAACAAAGACCTTTATTACTTATTATTATATATCTAGGCTTAAAAATTAGAAATTGAGGGTGTGTTCCTTGGTTCAGAAAGGCAGAATTCTTAAAAATTTTGAAAGGTAATGAATGTTTTCAGCATCAAGGGATCTCTTGTCTATTATCAGAAGCCTCCCAGTGTCTTAACAGACTGTGCTTTACACATTGCTTAAGACATTGGGGAATATCTGTCCCAGCTTTTGCCAAACAGAAAAAAGATATTTCCACCTACATACCTCGAGATTGTCTACTAGTTGTAATGGAAGCTGTGGTGTGAATAAGTGGCACATTCCAGTTTTCTCTTAGAATAGTTAATGTATCATTTTTACAAATGAGAAAAATTAAGTAGCTTGGAGAGGATTGTATGTACTTAGAAGTAAAGCTTTAACATCCCATAATATCACTGATTTATAACTTAAGGAATTAGACATTGTAATAAGGAAACTTTTTATACATTGTTCATGTGTGGACCTTGCCCTATTTGCTTTACATTCATAAGTTTAAAATTAGAAGAACATCAAAGATTAATCTAACCCTCTTGTACAGATAAGGAACCTGAGGCCTGGAGAAGTTAAGGGACATATCCAATATTATACAGGTAGTAAGTTGCAGACTTACTGGGTTCTGACTCCAAATGCAGTACTCTTTAGAATGTACCAAAAGCACACCTTTTACAACAAATATTCAAGATTTTAAACCTGTGTTGCATAGTGTAAGGATTTCTCATAGAATTCACTCTCCTAAGGAGTTTGCCTTATAATTTTTAAATGTACCAGTTGCTCTTGCAAGTTTTAGTTAAGTCATCTAAACTGATGCCTCATTTGGGAATCACAATCTTTTCATCTCTATTCCGAAACCAGTTTATCTATTTTTAAAATTGTTACAGTTTTAAACATTTTTTGCTTTGCTTGTTTTACAGGTTGACTATGTGATTAAGGAAGCAACTAATCTAGATAACTTGGCTCAGCTGTATGAAGGTTGGACAGCCTGGGTATGAATGGGAAGACCACAGATCAGTCTGGTTAAGTGAGGTCAGACATCTACCAGAATCAACTCGGCCTCAGGCATCCATAGCCACACCACAGTCGGTGGTGATGCATACTGGGGCTTAATCTGAGGAAACCTAGGAAATCTCGGTGCACTAGGAAGTGAATCCTGCAAGATAGCTGCACTCAGGGATACACTAAACACAATGGTCTGCAACCCCAGGGTCAAGGGTGAAAGTTCACTGCCTGAACACCACGATTGTCTTTCTGCTACAGAACAGCTGAAAACGTGTCAGGAGGTTAGCTGCAGAAAGAAATCTGAATGCTACAGAGTGCAGAGTGATTTGGAACTCCATTCCACCTGACCCTGTGTGTACAATCCAGGAAATACCAAAGCCCGTTCAAAGAGAAACAGAAAACTGGGGCCATGAAGAAATCACAGCAAAGGAAGATTTGATGCATTCAGATTCTTGTGTTACACTTGTGTGGCAGCAGTACTGGTTGGGTTGACCAGTAAGTTTAAAAAAAAAAAAGCCTAGGCAATATGAACTTCAGAAATGGACTGAAAGCAGAGAGCTGTATAACAGATACACTGCAATGGAAGAACTTCTGAAATGAAGAAAAAGTCTGGGTTTCCCCCTTCCCCTGCCTTTTCCTTGCTCTTCCTTTCCCTGCCCCCCCTTCTATCCTGCCCATCCTTCTTCTTCCCCTTTTGCCTAGTTTAGTAGATTAGCCATATTTCAAATAAACTTTTATTTCAATCCTTGTATTTCACGTACTTCAGTCTCAATACTGTTAACCTAGATTCTTTTTGATAAATGGAAATTTCTCCAAAAGCACTGAAAACATTGAAAATTCAAGGATTACTTAAAGGTTGAATGATCACATACAAAATGTAATTCTGGTTATTTAAGTCATTTCTGTGATTCTATCATGTACAGTTTCCCAGATTGTCACTGTGCATTTAAAAGTAATCTAACAGGTGTTTGATTTAATGTACACTTCTCTCTGCTGTTGCAGAGTAAGTATAGGGGGGTGGGAAGGGCAAGTCATTCAAAATTTTCCCTCAAAGCTCATTCTACCATGATTGCTGTAGTTTCTTTCATAAAAGAGTAGCCAATCCAATGTAACCTTTTACCTTTTTTAAAAACCAGGATGGAATATCTAGTAGAGTTTTACATTGTTGATGACAGATAAACAATAAAGTGATGTTCTGTTGGAGGTAGAGTGATATGTTTTTTTTTAAATTCAGTTTCCTCATTTGGTACTTTTAATTTGCAAAATTAAAATTTTTTAGGTTCATGTGGTATATTAGTACTTTTACATGTAACATTAGTAAGAAGAACCACCAACATTTTGTTCAATTAAATTATTAAGTGAAGTGTTTTACTTTATAGCATGACTTTGATAGTTTACTGTTCAGTAATACATAACAGTGAATTCATGATCAAGGTTTCCTTAAATTTAGCATTGCATTTTAATACTTAAGTAAACTAGAATCCTGGTTCAGAATAGGAATTTTCAAATCACGTATTAAAAAAAAGCAAAACAAGATTAAAACCTGACTTTCAGTACAGTTTTCAAACACTTGGTAAATTTTTGGACAAGGTTCACATTCCAGTTTTCACAAACATGAAGTGTTAAGAAAAATCCCATATACTCATTAGCTTTTTGTATTTTCTGATTGCTTCATTACTCTGATTTGATACCCATTTTGCCATGTATTGCAAGAAAGATGGCATTTGACTATCCATGTGCCTAAAAAAAGATCCTATCACATTTTTTTACTTTGTTTATAGTGAATCTTGTTTTAATGAAACAACTTTAGCTGGAATAGTAATGCCATAATGTATTTTGCATGCTGCTGTTTTCTAGAAGCTGTGAGAATTTATTTCATCTCACATGTACCTCCTAATATCCAAAAATGAAGCTGTTTTTTCTTTATATTATATTATCAGAATGATGAAGCATCCCTGTTTTTTTTTAAAGCATACAAGCTCAACACACAAATTGGCTCCTATGTGTAGTATTTGGAAATGGCTTCCTCTTTAGTAAGAAAGGTTAATAGAAAATTTCAAGAAGTATCAGACTTCACAGGTGCCTTGACACTTTATCCAAACTAATATAGTGAAACAACTTTACTATGGAAGATAGGACCCATACACATCTAGTAAATTCATGACCTTTGACAAAATGGTCCCTTTAACATTTGAGATAATGATATCAACACAGGAAATGTTTTGTTTTCAGAAACATTAACTTGTGACTCTAAATGTAAATTGATATTTACTGCATAGTTTGATTTCCTCATGAAATTTAAATTATAAATGGCCTTGCAGTTTTAGATTGCTATAAGAATATTCACCAGTATTTTCAAGACATACATAGGTTAAAAAGTTACTGGTGTTGTAGCAGATCAAATAGACCTATAGATTTCATGTTCATAGTAAAATGTAAAGATGAAATCATAATTATATTTAGTAATAGACAAAATAGCTATGGAAAATAAGGTGGGTTTTTTTTTAATGATATGATTCAGGTTGACAACCTCCAAGCAGCTATTTTTCTTTTCTCTCAAGACTCAGTTATCCTCAGTGTTATGAATGTTGTCTAAGTCATTGGAATTGCCTGGTCATCTTTGTTTTTCATTTTGAGAAATGTTTACCTGAAAAAGTTCTGGAGGTATGCTAGTTTGTGGAGTACCTATAGCGATTTCACTGGTCTATTTAATTTGTTTGTCCCATTGTGTTCATGAACAGTTTTTATGCAGCTTTCTTGATGGTTAGATTATTTGGAGGAGCATTAAGCATCTCTACATTTGATCTTATGGTCTTTGTGCATAGTTTTCTATGTGTAGAACTGTGTAGGGACTGAGAGTTTAGGTAGAACTGTTGATCCACTATCACAGCCCAAGTTAAATTCTTTATTAGGTTTCAGATGCCAAAGTTATTTCAAGGCTGAAATTTAAGATAAAGTTATGTAGCACTCCAATTAATCCTGTCTCCCCATCTTTTTCTAAATGGTTTTCCAGTGTTGTGTTACCTGCATTGTAGGGGTTTTCTCCACTGTTTGGTTGGTCTAATCTGTAAAATTTTAAGGAAAGAGCCCTTTAAAATTTCTGAGCAGGGCAGTGTGAATACAGCCAAATATTAGAGTATAAGTGCAATCTAAGTCCCTTCTTAAGTTATAGGCAGTACTTTAAGCCTGAAAAGTCTTCCCCCTTCCATTCTCCTTAGCGTTTTTGTAATTACTTTTGAAGGTTGCTTATTTGAGTAGCACCAAAACAAAAGGAGCTGGTTTCTTTTCTGTGCTCCTCTTGGCAGTTTTCCCTCCTTTTGAGATGTAAACTACAATTCAGCCAATTTCTTTAAGCCAAATTGAGCTGCTCATTCAAAAGAAAATGACAAATTATTTACTATTATCACTCTTGATGTTTTTACATGAAATTCGATAACTATTAAAATCAGTGACCTTCCATTTCTCACTTGGCTTACACCTTATCAATAAAATTGAATTAAGATATTTTATTTTCCTTAGGCTTTAGAGGTAGAATATTGTTAACATAACATTCACTGAAAGAATGTGGCTTATGCTTTGATGTTTCTAGTTAGCAAGTACCTTCTCTGGGGGGAAAAAAATGGTAGCTTAGCTAGGTAAGGTAAATTTTTTTTCTAGAGATAGGATGGAAAAGAAATTGATCATACTATGAAGTTGTGTGGGTTTCCTTGCACTTTTCCTGCTCTTTATACCTGTATTGGGAATAGCAACATTTCAACGTCATTAACAAGAAGTGCAGAACACTTGGCCCTAGCCAAGAGAATTTCTCATTTGAAAGGGTGGATTGTAAAACAAGCAGACTATAGATCAATTGGTTTTCCATACTCAGTTGTGTGGGTTTATTAAGGAAAAACTGTTGTATTAATAATGTAAAAATGTAATGCAATTATTAGTAATTTTCAAAAGTGGTAAATAGTAAAGAATTGCATGTTGCTCAGAAATACAGAGTTGTGGAAAGATGCTTTGTTTTTAATTTTTTTTAAAACAAGCTGATATAAGCATATTTTTACAAGATTCAAACCTCAGATGTTTTGTTCAGCTCAACAATTTATACCCCTTGTCCATTACTTTTTTTTTTGTCCATTACTTTTTTCTGGTGTGAAACACCTTTCTTTCCCTGCCACTTCTAATGGTAATCAGAATATGTGACATGAATAATTTCTCCATTTATCTTTATTGTGAGGGCAAATAATTTAAAAAGAATCTTCCTTTTTCCTAACAGAACTGTATAAAAAGGAAGTGGCTGCTCTGTACAAAGGTTGTATTGCCTTCCCAATTTTGTGAGTGTATCACACCAGCTTCCTGAAAATGTTAATAATGCATCTTTTGGGAGAAAAAATTTACAAGCAAATTTTGTGCATACATTGCATCAACATGGCAAAGATTGTATAAAATACCTTTTTCAAGAAATAAAGGTTTAAATTCAACTGGGCTAATGTTAAATTCTGAATTTATTGATCAAGGCAGACTACTAAAAATACTTTCTAGCCCTAACACTAAATATAAAAAGTCTTACCTTCCTACAGCTCTAGATGTGTACAATTGTTTGTTACCCCCAACCAAGTTTTCATAATTTTTAAAATGTTTAAAGGTACATGTTTATGAAATTGGATGAAAGAATTATCACTTCAAAAGAAATTCAGTTGCAAAACTGAAAAATCTTGAAAATCATACAGGGCAGTTGTGGTTTCATGGCTCCAATTGAACTGCTTTCATTTTGAGTTTTTTTTTTTTTAAATCCAAGCATACTAGTTTCAAAATAAAGACAATCATAAATTTACCCAAAAGTTAGATGGATGGCTTATCAGCTTAATTTGCAAAGTCTGTTAGTAGGTGTGTTTGTCCCATTATGATTTGGCACTTTTCAAAGTAAACAAATACAACCTCCCATCTGCATATTATAAGAGTGTATATTATAAAAGCCAGAAAAGGGCTGGGAGAATCTATAGTATGAAGCATGTATTTTAAGTAAAACAGAGAATTTACTGAAGATATAATCCATTTTTTTCTGTTTATAATTTAAACATTAACAATCTATTAACTCCATAGGGTTTCTTTTCCCCTTAAAAAAATTCCAAAACTATTCTAATGGTAAACTTCAGTAGTAAAAGGTGGGGGAGGGACTTACTGGAAAACTTAGACAAACCTTACTCATGTAACTGTTAGGCTGTGAGTATGGAATAAGTGCACAAGAAGGCTCTACAATATGGATAATATTTCATATAGCACCTAACAGTTCTGTTTTATTCTGTATTCTTACCATAGGTATTTACCACCTGGCCTAAAGCATCTTCCTTCTTAGGAGAGGATTTTCAAAATAAAAATATATTCTTGCAATTCTGTGAGAGAGAGAGAAAAAGTTTTGACATCAATTATTCCACTTTTTCCTCAAGACCTTTTTTGAGGAGCTTAACTTTAGTTGAGCGTATTCCACCTTACCTATTCAACTTTAATACTCCCCGACCTGCCAGTCTTGAGTTCTTCCCATCCCTCAAAAAAAGTAAGTTTCTTATCTAAACTTTTCCTCTCACACTTGACCCTTCACAAAACAAATGAGCTCTTAAATATTTCTTCAACATTGAATATTACCTACAACCACTACACTGCATCTGACTAATCTTGCCTTCAGAAGTAACTACGATCTCCGGGGAATCTGATGTAAAGCGTAACTGCAAATTTTGGGAAAAGTCTTACTTTCCCTTCTAGAGAAGTTCATGGTTTAGCAGTTCTATTTCCTAATGCTAAATCCAAATGTCCATGATAGTTTAAAAGGTACAGAGTTTGCTTCTTACAGACTTGTGGCTAAGCAATTTCTAAAAAAAATTTATGCACTTTATCTTAGGGGCCCAGTGGATACAGCACTGCATATGCAATCAGGAAAACCTGGGTTCAAAAACGGCCTCAGGTACTTGCTGTGACTGAGCAGTCCTCTTCCGTAAAATAAGGATAATACTAGTACCTACCCTATGGTGGTTATAAGGATAAAATACTTACCAAGTCCCTTTCAAACTCTAAGGCACTACAAAAATGAGAAACCATTACTATGTGACCTTGTCCTGTGTCTAGTCTCTATTTAGGCCCTAGAACTGCTGGAGAGGGGAGTAGTGGCAAAGGTTGGTAGGTGAAGTAACTTGCTCAAAGTCACGTGGCACGAAGCCCCAGAATGCCGATGGGGGGGCGACTCACACAAGTCATCAGGGGTATTACCAGGCACACCCATTAGACAAAGCCCAGGAGACTCTCGCAAAAGCTTGTATCATCCATATTTAAAAAAAAAAATTGGAGGCAGTCAGGGTTGTGACTTGCCCAAGGATCACTACTAGCTGTCTGAAGCCACATTTTAACTCGGGTCCTCCTGACTTCACTGGCTGGTGCCACTCAGTTGCACCAGTCATAAAAATCAAACACCAGCCCCTCCCTTCCCTAACGTATGGCCACTCTCTGTCTTCATTAGTGGCGTTTTGCAAAATGGGAATGAAATATAATAGGAAAGCTCCCGTCTGGGGTAAAGGGCCAAAGAACCACTGTTATGTTGAGCGCTTCGTCATTTTACCGAGACGACCCACGGAGAATAAAAAAAAAATCTGCGCCTGCGTCTGGCTCTTCGCGCACGCGCGCCTCTCTAATCCTTTCCCTTTCTGTGACAGTTGAACGGCTTCCGAACCTGTGAAGTGGAGGGGAGGGGAGGGAGGTATGTTGAGGGAAAGGAGGGTTTTAGAACGGATGCGAAGGATGATTGGCCAACCAACTCATCTCCCCGCCCCTCAACCCAGGGCTTTCTTTACATCTTTCTCAGCCTCGTTTTGAAAACATGCACTGGCTCGTGGTTGGCTGGTATGAGCCTCAGCTTCGCCTGAATTTTACCAATAAAAAAACAGGCTCGTGAGGCCTGTCGGGAAAGGGAGCCGGCCTATAAAAAGGCCTGGGTAGCAAGGCCATATCTTTTAAGGCTCTTGCGAAGGGCTGTTACTATTTTTTATGTAGGGACCCGGAGGCGCCGGCTGGTTATCCTGAGAGGTGCTACAGTGACCATGGCTGAAGGGGACAATCGCAGCAGCAACCTGTTGGTGAGTGACTCCGAAACTCGTAGCAGGGACAAGGCCCAGGCCTTCCTCCCGGTGGGTTTGTTAGGTGTCGCGGCCAGCCTTGTGGCCTAGTCGCCCCAGGTCTAGGCTCATGGGCGAGAGAAGGCTCTTAATCCCTGACCTCTCTGCTCCCCAGGTGTTTGATTGTCTAAAGATCCGCTCTTAACTTCCCGAGTGGATCCTGCGCTGGGTGGGGCAGGCTGCAGGCCTTGTGTTTAGTCGTCTGAAGAAGGTGGGGGTTGGGAAGGAAAGATGGATGTGGGTAAGATGAGGAAGTAAATCCTACCCGACCCTCCGGTGCTGGAGCTTGGTCAGGCCTTTTAGCCCAACCCTTCGGGTTCTCTGCTACCTTTCGGGGAAAACAACAAGGTTGAGAAGAAATAGAATTTTCCCCAGTTTTCGGATGAGCTCATCTAAGGGTGAAGGCTTCTTAATGCCCATAGAATTGGCGGGGGGGGGAGGTGGACTGGAGATTGCAGATTACCTTCCCTGTGATTTTTTGGAAGACCACTGGAATATTTGTCATTTGACCGGGATTGTGGTGTAAGGCAGTCATGGGGCTCCCCGAGCTGGAAAAGGGTCTTCGAGATTGTCTGGACCTGTTCAACACTTTTATAGACATTAGAAAATTCAGATCTGGAGATACGCGTTGACAGGCTCAGATCACTTAGAAAACCTGAGTGTTCTTTGCTCTATTGTGTTCTGGAAGGTCAATTCAATTAATTGAAATCTCATGGAGGTCATGAAGTGGATTAGGCCTGGTAGAATTTTAGTAAGATAACAATTTTAAGATTTAGAGGTGGGAGCTTTTTTACCCCTTCATTTTGCAAGTGAGGAAAATGAATCTCACAAAGTACAGTGACTTGCATGTTGTAAGATAAAGGAATACTACAGTATTTCTCATCTAATTAATTCTAAGTGACTTTTAGAAATAACTAGGTTTCACATTAATTTTCAGATTGCAAGCAATTTTTAGCTGTATTATTCTTTTTTTTTACATCAGCTATGCTAGTTCTGCTATATTTTGCATTCAACAGTTTCACGTTATGACAGTTTGATTCCTCAGATTCTTCCACAAACTACAAGGGGAAGTTGTGTTGAGTTTAAGATGGAACATCCCAATTTGATGAAATCAGGCTTCATCTATTTTATGTTACTAATGCAATACATCTGGATTTCAGTGATGTTAAAAAAAAATCTAATGGTTTCTTGTTACAAGAAAGCTATATTGTAAATTGAGGGTTGTCTGGAAAATCTTGAAAATTTGAAAGACATCTTAGAGACCCTCTTAGTCCAAGAAAGATGTAAATTACTTTTATTACCCAAATTGATAGGTTTACTAAAATGGTGATTTTTGTTTTAGAAACTTCTGAGACCTGAACCTAGAGTTAATAATCCTTTGATAAAGTTACATTAAATAAAAATTTAACCTTTCAGTCTAATGACTTTATTAATTTTTTGTTGTCTTTTATCTTTATATCCCCTACATTTTCCAGTTTATCCCTTTCCCACCTTCCTCCTAGAGAGCCATCTCGTACAACAAAGAAGAAAAAATAGTTCAACAAAACTAATCAATACATCAAAAATGTCTGACATCATGTGTAGTGTACCATACTCAGGTGCCTTTGGGTCCTAACTTGCTCATTATCATTTCACAGTTTTTATTTAGTTTTCATTGTTTTCTTCTTTTTCTACGTTGTTGTAGTCATTGTTTACATTTTTCCATTTTGCTTACTTTACTATCAGTTCATAAATATTTTCATGTTTTTCTTTATTCATATCATTTTCATAATTTCTTTTGGTACAGTATTATTTCATCACATTGATGTGCCACAACTTTTTTAGTCAGTTCCAGTTGATGGAAATCTAATTTATTTCTAGCTCTATGCTTGTACAAAAAAATTCTGCTATAAATATTTTGATATATAAGGGGGTTTTTCTTGGGTGACCCCTACGACTTTTTGAAAAATTAGAATTATTGGCTAGTTTCAGCTGAGAATAGATATTTTATGAACATTTTAGCATCATAAAAGAATTTAGCTTTTAGATAGCCAGAACTACTGTTAAGAATATTGTAATGACTATTTTAAGTATTTCTTGTGTACAGGCTGCAGAAACTGCCAGCCTGGAAGAACAGTTACAAGGATGGGGAGAAGTGATGCTAATAGCTGATAAAATACTTCGATGGGAGAGAGCCTGGTTTCCACCTGCAGTCGTGGGTGTGGTTTCTTTGGTATTCCTGTAAGTGAGCTTTGAGGTGGTTGTTTTGATATTGTCCTTCAGTATTTACTTGCACCTTTATTAAGCCTCCCATTGGCAGTGCCCTAAATCTTTTGTAATATATAATCTGTAAAGAATGCATTTTCTTAGGTCAGCTTTCTCACATTTCATTATTTATGTAAGCTTTGCTTTATAATGCTCTAATGCATTTATCATGTGATGTATTTTATAACTGTATTGGTGCTAAACTCATCTACTAGACTTTTAAGCCCTTTGAGGTATTGGAATCATGCTTACCTTGTCATAACTTTATATCTGCTCCTTCATCTAGATCAGTGCTTTGCTTTCAGTGAGTGCTTTTTATATTTTTGTTTTTTATGGGATAAAATGTCTACTAATCTGATATTTAAATTTTTTTTCTTTAATAGTTTGATCTACTACTTAGATCCATCTGTTCTTTCTGGTATTTCCTGTTTTGTTATGTTTTTGTGCCTGGCTGACTACCTTGTACCCATTCTTGCTCCTAGAATATTTGGCTCCAATAAATGGTAAGTTAAGTAAGAACTTTGGTAACTCAATATGCTTGGCATTGAGGGGAGGGTGAATTTGTTGTTATATTAGGATGCCTAATTTAATTGCTAGCTTATGTGTCTAGGATTCAGGGTTTAACATTCATCAGGAAAGTAGAGTAAAAATGGTTAAGTATCTTATGAGAAGTCTTTCGACTTCTGACTGGTGGAAAGAATTGTTTTGAGAAATACAGCTGAATTAAAGATATTAAGGAGTTAGTTGAAACTGACTGAATTTGGCCTTGAAAGAAGTTTAACCACCACTGAAAATATATTATTTGTTGTGAATGTGTTCCCTTTTTTTTTTAAACCTGGTGGGAAGTGAAGTTACTGTGTTATTTCCTATGGTATATCTGAAAACAAATCCTGAAAAACAAACTGATTTTTCACCATGAAATCTGAACTATAAAAAAATTTTACAAATGCCATTCATAAGAATAGGCTACTCTAGTGAATAGAATGAACTCCAAGAACCAACTCAGTTACTAACTAGCTGTGTGACTTAAGTCACTTCTCTGGGTTTCTATTTATAGTTTGGACTAGGTGGTAGCTATGGTTCCAGATATATGTTTCCTTGACTATTATATGAAGTTGTGACTATACTCTTGAAAGTCTATGGGTCTTATTCTTTCGTTTCATAAAAAAAATCTTCATGTAACTTTTTTAAAAAATCCCTAACAAATTAATGAACATGCCTAAAATGAGATTAGGTTTTCAGTATAATGGTTCAGAATAAACCATATGCGTTATAGATTTTCATTCTTAGCATTTTTCATTTTTGTTTTTCATTTCAATGAACAAGTCTTTTTTTCTTTCTGCCTACTCTTGGTAGCATGTTTTATCCTTAGTGCTTTTGCCTCATGGTTGTTCATTGTAGTCTTTTAAGGTTGTCTTTACGTTATTGTTGTTTTCTGTACAAATTATTCTCTTGGTTCTGCGTACTTCACTCAGCATCAATTCTTACAAGTCATCCTTTGGAATTGTCCCCTTCATCATTCCATTACATTGATATACTATAATTTGTTAAACCATTCCTCAGCTGGTTTCCGCTTTCAGTTATGGGTATTGTTTCTAGTTCTTTGCCATCACAAAATGAGCTCCTATAAATATTTTTGTATTTATGGGTCCTTTTCTTCCTTCTTTGGTGTCTTTGGGGGTGTAGACCTAACAGTGGTATCTTTGGGCCTAAGGGTATGCACAGTTCACTTTTTTGACATACTTCCAAATTGTTTTCCAGAATGGCTAGCATAGCAGTTTCATATAAATGTTCATGTGTATTCAGTACACATATACTGTTTTTTATTATATAACCTAAAGAAAAAATGCTATTTTATATAACCCCAAAATATAAGCCATTTTATATTCTTTTAGCATTTATTTTTACTATGTTGAAATACACTTATACATTTTTGTTAAAAAGTGATTAAATAAAATTAGAGTGGACGGATTTTACAGCCACCATTTGTTCCTAAAATTTGATTACTAAATCCATAAAGATTTTTCTCTAAATAAAAAAAGGGGTGGGGAAAGACTTCTAAAATACAAACCTCCAAAAATACAAATCGCTTCATCTCAGAGTTAGAAAAGACCTTAAGGGGTCAGCTAAGTATAAAAATGTCTAACCAATGGTCATCCTTTGATTAGGGACCTCTGATAAGGGGGTCTCACTGTATCCTGATACTTCCCAGCCCTTAAGACTTTTAAATGGCTGTTATTATTAGGAAATTATATTATCTTGGATTTAAATCTGCATTTTTGTAACCTAACCATTTTTCTTAGATCTGTTCCTTGAAACTTTGCATAAGGCAGCTCTTCAAATACTTGAAAATTGCTGTAATATCTACTTTCAAGTCTTCTGGCTGAATATGCCTATTTTCTTTACCTTCTAATATAGCATGTGCTTAAGGCTCCTTACCCAATCCTTCTTAAAATGTGAAGCCCAAAATTGACCTAGGGAGTCTAGATGTGATCTGACTATAACAAGAGTATAGTTGGACTACCTCCTTCCTTATTCTGGGTCCTGTATCTCTTAAGGCAGCATAAAATCATATTATTTGGATGCTGTACTATTACTTTAAGTTGCATTCTACTAAAGCTGTATACTTTGTGTTCTTAACTGAATGCCTACTGAGAATTAAAACAAGAGGCTCTTGATTTCTTAGAAGACAAGACAAAGACCACACGTAGCAATTCTTTGAAGGAAGTTAGGGATTCAAGACATAGGTGAGGCATATACACACACACACACACACACACACACACACACACATTTTAATTTATAGTTATTTCTAGGAAGCAGCTTAACAGACCAGGTTGAATAAAATAGACTGCTTGAAAAAGGAAATAATAGAATACTGAAAAAAAAAATGGTGGGAGCCAGATTGTGGAGGGCTTTAAATGCCAGGCTGAAGTTTTTATATTTTATCCTCGACAATACGGAATCATTGAAGATTTTGAGTAGATATATAACATAGTCAGGTCTAGGCTTTAGGAATGTTAATAAATTTTAGTCTTTAATTTTAGGGTTCCATGAAAGTTTAAAATGCAGAAATAAAGATGGCTCAGTTTATATAGGATATCCAGGAGTATGTTTATTTTAAAGGTGAAATTGCATTGAATATAGACTTTTTTGCCATTGATAAGAAACTTTGTAACTCTTTCTTGTTTCCATGGGAACTTAAGACTGGGGCTGGTAAGCCACATACCCCTCTTATATGGGCAGCCTCTGACTCTTCAAGATTTTCTCTATGTTCTCATATAGTAATGAATTAATTAAATCCTACTGACCGTGTGAGGTTTACAAAACATGATTTTTGGAGCCATGTAATTTTATGATACTTTCTACATGTATAGGATAAAATATTTTGCTTTGTTGTGGTTCTTTAACCAAACTTTGCTTTAGTAGAGAGAATCTTAATATCTAAGATGGCAAAATTGTGTATATGACTTCTTGTTCTATATAAAATTTGCTCACAGTAAGAGTGGGGTGGTTGGGTGTTGTTATTTCACTAGGACTACTGAGCAACAGCAAAGATTCCATGAAATTTGCAGCAATCTAGTGAAGACACGGCGCAGAGCTGTTGGCTGGTGGAGACGCCTCTTCACGCTGAAGGAAGAAAAACCTAAAATGGTACTTGATTTTGACACATTTGTCTAATATATCTGCTAATCTGACTTCAAAGTAGCATAATATTTGTAGGCTATGAAATATGAGGTTTTTTGGTAGTAATGCTTAGGTCATGCAAGTCAGAAAGTTACATTATCTGTACTTGGTTGTTTTGGGGTAATATTTCCTCTTGTAGATAAGAAGGTTTTGTTCCTTATTTTTTCTCTTATACTTTGTTGAAACAAAAGTAAAATGCCTGTACTGTATTTAGAATAAATATCCCCTTGTGTTGCTTTATTTTTATATAATACAATTATAGGAAGAGTCTTTTCAGTAGCAGTGGTTAGCTTCTGAACTAATACAGTTGTGGGGGTTAGGACACAATATCCCGAAGTCTGGAAAATCCATGTAAAATTTTTTGGCCCTCTCTTCGTACGAGAAAAGAAGTCTGAATTTTTTCTTTTTCTCTTATGGGGTGTTTACAGTACCTTATTATAAAATTTGGGTTATTATACAATACTATACATATATTTTATGCATTTCTGATTTTCTAAACTTTTTCTGTGTCATGTGCTGGCGTTTGAGTGTCATCTGTGGCGACCACAAAAATCCTAAAAAAATGTCTTATGCGCACCTGCAATATATCAGAATTGTGATGGGGAAAGTCACAGTGCAGAAGGGATGGTGATTTATGTTAGAACATCTGAGTAAAGAGTGAAAATAGAACATTTAAACTTAGATCAGTTGTATTTGCTTTGTGGTAATAACAAAGTCCTAAAGAACTTAATTGTTTTAGGTATCCTATCTTTGTTAACAAGGAATTCTTTTTCGTTTTTATTTTTTAGTACTTCATGACCATGATTGTTTCCCTCGCTGCAGTTGCTTGGATTGGACAGCAAGTCCACAATCTTTTCCTCACCTACCTTATTGGTAAGCCTTTTTAGAGACTGAACTAAAGGAATATGCTATCTATCAAACAATGAGCATTTTTGTAAGCTCTTATTATGTGCCAGGCATTGTGCTGGAGGATAGCAAAGATATGAAAAAGTCTCTGGCCTCAAGGAGTTAATATTCTGCAAGGAGAGAAAAAACCATGCACATATATAATTGAATATAAATAAATATAAGGGTAAATTTTTTTTTTTGGCAGACACTAACAGCTAGGGGGATTGAAATATTTCAAGCAGAAGTTGGCACTGGAACAGAGTTCTGAAGGAAGGAAACAATTCTTGAGACATGAACGTGAAGAGAAATATCATTCTAGGCATACAGGCGGCCAATTCTAAGGCGTAAAAGTGGGAGATAGAACATCATGTAATGTAGAATGTCTGAAGTACAGAGGGTGTGCAGGGGAGTAATGTCACAAGAAGACTGGAAAAGTAGAAAGGGGTCAAGTTGTAAAGAGCTTTAAATGCCAAATGGGGGATTTTATAATATTTGATCCTAGAGGTAATATGGCACCTCTGGAGTTTGAGTAGAAAAGTGACATGGTCAGGCCTATACTATAGGAAATTCACTTTGGCACCTCTGTGGGAGAGAAACTTGGAGCAGGGAGACCAATTAGAAGTCAGTTACGGAAGTTCAGGTAAGAGGTGATGAGGCCCAGAACTAAAGTAGTGGTAAAGGGAACATAGATAATGGGTTGTTTGAGAGGGATAGCGTGGAAAAAAGAGAGATAATGTGGAAATAGAAACAGGAATTGGCAACTGATTGGCTATGGAGGGTGAGTGACTATGAAGAATCAAAGTTAATGCCAAGGGTGGAAACCTAAGTGACATGAAGGAGGGTGGACTTCTTGACAGAAATAGGGAAGTTTGGGAGAGGGGTGCACAACAAGAATGAATTTTGTTTTGAGTATGTCAATTTTGAAATGCTGACTGAATGTCTTGTCTGAGTATCCTATAGTCAGCTAAAGATTTATTCATGGAGCTCAGGAGAGAGACTAGGGTTAGGGAGACCCAGATTTGAGAATCAGTGTATTAAACCCGTTGGAATTTGTGAGTTTAATTAGTTGATAGAGTACAGCGAGAGAACAAAGAGGCCCAGCACAGAGCCTTGTAGTATCTCATTTAGGAGTTGTCATGTATATTTGATGAACCAGTAAAGTTATGGTCAGACAGGTGGGAAAAGAACTAAGTGAGAACAATCTCATAAAATTCCAAGAGGAAAATGTATCTAAGAGGAAGAGGAGAGGGTCAACTGTGTCAAACGCTGGTAACTTTGGGAGAATATTTTCTGTTGACGTATGAGGTCAGAAGTCAGATTGCAAAGAGATGAGAAGTAAATAAGGAGAGGAAGTGGAGGCAGTAAGTATAAACAGCTTTTTCAATGAGTTTGTGAAACAGGAGAGAATAATAGCTTGAGGGATAGTTGGTTCTGTTGAGGGCTTTTTTCAGGATGGAGGAGACTTGGGCATGCTTGTAGGCATCAGAGAAGGAATAAAGAAGATTGTAAAAAAAGGGTGATTATGGGGGCAAACTGCTGAAGAAGATAGGGAAATGGTGAGGTCAAGGTACATGTAGAGGAGGTTGACTTTAACAAGATAGATCCCTATTCAGAGATAGATATAACAGGATTGAATGAGGAATAATGTTAAGGGGTTACAAGATGTAGAAAAGAGATGCTTAAAATGATGTCTTTTTTTTTTTTTTTTTTTTTTTTGGTCCAGGAAAGCGAAGCAAGATCCCTGGTTGAGAGAGAGTGTGTGAGAAATTTGAGGGAAGAAAATGATTTCAAACAGCCTTTGTGAGGAGTGGCTCAAAGAATCATTTAGGAAGAAGTGGCTTGTTCTTTGAGGGCACAGTTGAGATTAGACAGCATAAACTCATAGTGAGACTAGTCAGATTAGTTGTGTGATTTCTTCCAGTTGTTCAGCAGCATGAATAGCAGTGGAGGAGGTAAATGATCACAGTTGGTCTAGGTTTGGGGTTTGGTTAAGTTGTTAGCATTGATAGGACAGAGGAATGGGATTCAAGAGTAAAGGACAGTGAAGAGTTGAATTGTTTAACTGTGCATGGAAAGTATGACTATTAGATTCCAACTCAATTGTTAGTTTGATAAGAAATGTTAAAAGAAGGCTGCCCTCCTTTTGACAGAAGTAGTGGAGTCAGGATGCATGAATGAGGTATATGTTTTGTGGACACGACCAGTATAGGGATTTGTTTTGCTTGATTGACTATGTATGTTTGTTAAAAGGTTTGTTACTTGTTTTACTCCAGGAAAATAAATTTTTTAAGAGGAAAAATAAAAATGTTTATATAATACCTATTATGTGCGAGGTACTTTCAGAGACAGAGAAAAATATGAACTATTGCTTTCCTTTAGGAACACTGTAAATACTAGGAGAGAGATAAAACAAATGTATATAACCATAATTTGAAGCACATTATTTGATACATGTTCCTTAACTTAATTTCTTTTTGCTTTTAGTAACTTTCTTACTGCTACTTCCTGGACTAAACCAACATGGAATCATTTCAAAGTACATTGGAATGGCCAAAAGGGAGATAAACAAGCTCCTCAAACAAAAGGAGAAGAAAAATGAATGACGCATCTGTTTCATTCAGTATCATAAATGTGGCATAGTGTCCTTGGGAACAGTTTCTACAAAGTATGTGTACTAAAATGTTATGGAAGTATATTTTTACTTTCTTATTTAACTTCTGATTGGCTCTTGATAAAAATTTGAGACTGGCCAATTGAAAGGCCCTATGTATGGTGTCTGCATAAAGTTCAACAGAATGTGTCTTCACTGATTTATATTGATAACTTGAGAAATAGCAGTCTGTGAGATGGTCCCCTCTGGACTTGTTCTTATTTCATTACCCAAGGTTAACTGAACTGGCATTTTTAGGGAACTGAAACAACCCCTCTAGTATAGTAGTTTAGTAACTCACTAGTATTGTAATTCATTTTAATCTTTTAGAATGTTAACGGTAACTTGAGTAATACAGTCCATCTTAACAGTGGAAAATCTCAGGTTAAACTTTTCTTTCTAGAGAAACAGTGGTGGTCTGTGGGTGTAGGAAGTAGGTTTCATATCCTGCTTCAAGAAGTTGGCTCCATGGATGTAACATCCAATTTTGTCACTTCTGATAGAGACCAATTAGCATTAATTTTCCATTCCTATTCATTATCATGGAAATGCCCACAGAATTACTGAAAAGTGGTTCCATGGCCTAGCTGATGATTAACCAACCATTAATGTTTTGCCCCTGTGGAACACCTTGGCAGTGTGCAGAAATTTGATCATTTCTGCCAAGTAGCAATCTGGCACATTGTTTTCGGTCACTCTTGTGCCTTCGCACTTAAAATATGGTAACTTCTGTTTAGTAAATTGTTGAGAAGTTTCCTTATAGTAACTCCTAACAGAGTCCTACTATTATAAGATAATTAACTAAATCCTTGGCCTGGGGGAGAGGGCAGAGGAAGAACCAATGAATGGAGTCACCATTATATAAAAGCACTAGAAACAGAGTTATGGCATTCCTAGCTCTAAGGCCAAATAATAAAACTTAACCCTTAAATTAGTCAAGCCCCACTCTAATAGAGAATAGATCTCATGAGATACTATTTTAAATTCTCAGACCTGTGATATGACTCAGGTTAGTAGTTATAAGACACTGCTGTCACCATAGGTTTAGTATAAAAATAAGTGATTGCCTGTGTCCTTTTCTTTCACCACTCCATAGAGAACTAAAGGGCTATTGGTAAAAGTATAGTAGAAAGTCTGCCCCTGTTTGTATGTTTTGAAGTTACCAGATATTCAAATTATATTCAGCTTAGTAGCCAGAAATTGAGGTAGCTTTGAATGTGAATAAAGAAACCCCCAAAACTTGCAGCACTTCTTCAGCAACACCCTGTCCTGTGTGAAAAATGTCAAGGAATGTTTAGAAACAATATTTAAAATCTTATTAACTATAATGTAGTTTTGTGAATTTAATTGCACTGAAATTATAAAAACTGGGCTGTGATATTTATGTCCTAACAGTAAACTTTTGTTTTCAGAATACTACTGTAGCCAAGGAGCCCATGTAGCATGATTAGTTTTATGAATGTTGTCTGATATATAAACCACCTAGAAAATATTGCATTTATTTCCTCTTGTAAATAAGCCTGTCTTCATAGCTGTTTTTTGTGTGTTGTACTGATTACCTCTGCTGTTTTAATCCTGTATTATTCCTTCTACTGTGTTTTGTGTAGGAAGAGATGGGGAGAGTATAAAGAGGGATGGGAAAGAATAAAAAAATTAAACTCTTCACTTACATTCTAGCATTTTTTAAAGCTCAACCAAGAAAATTGTATAATCAAACTTATAAATAATTACGTTAATGAGTTACCTTGAATTCACTGTAACATTACAGGTACTTACTATAAAGGGTCTGTCTTAGACCTCATACAAGCCAATTTGTATAGCAAAGAGGGTTCTGGATTTTAAGATAGTCCCCTTGATATGGTCCTTGAGGGACAGTGTTAGTTTGGGGAACCAAGTGGGCCAATTTAGTTGGAGCATAAGTGTGAAAGGGGAGTAATGTGAAATAAGCCTGAGAAGGTAGGCTGAAGTCTGGTGCTGGGCTGTAAATGCCAAACTGAGGAGTTTGTATTTAATCCTAGAGGCTCAATTGCTGCTGCTATTTGTTCTTTGTTCCTGAAGAAGACCATGACATCAGGATGGTGATGCCATAACATGCAAATGAATTGGATTTAAGTGAGGGAGAGCTGTGCAAAGTCACCAGCCTCACTTTCTCCTCTGGAGCCGTGTGGGTCCAGTGACCAGGCGGGCATCAGGACAACTGAAAATGGCCCAGGATGCAGTGGGGGACCTTGACTTTTTCAAGCTAAGATCTTTAACGGGTCTCAGTTTGATTGAGGCAGCGCCTCAGTGATTAAGGCTTAATAAAAATGAGGCAAAGAATGGCCTCTTAAAAAAGATCTGACAGGGGAAGACCCTCGGGGTTTCTGGTGAAAATAGAAACAATTGTTATTTACTTTCATTTTGAGCCCATCAGGGCCCAAACAGTGACCAAGTAGGACTTGGTCTGGGACCAGAGTGATTTGGAGTTAAGGCTGGTCTTTAAGAGAAAGAAATGAAAACAAGAAAAGTTTCAGAGATTAAAATTTACATTCCCTTTGGGCAGAAAAGAAAGAAGGAAAGAAAGAAAAGAAACAAGTGTCACCCAATTGGAAGTTTGGTCCCTAGTGGGCAGCTCCTTCTCGGCTCACAGAGGTTGCTGTTTGTCCTTCATTCTCAAAGAGGACCATGACATGAGGGAGGTGATGCCGTGATATGCAAATGAATTGGATGTAAGTGAGGGAGGGCTGTGCAAAGTCGCCAGCCTCACTTTTTCCTCTGAAGCCGTCTGGGTTCAGTGGCCAAATACGGATCAAGACAACTGAAGATGGCCAGGATGCTGGGGGGGACCTTGGCATTTTCAAGTTCAATAGGGAAAAAGCCAGAGAATGTTCCTAAGCAGTATGGTTAACTTGAGTGTTGAGAATACCCTTTGACAACTGTAGAGAATGGAATAGAGAGAGGAGGCAAAGACATTGATTGGGAAGAATACAAGTTGTCCAGGTGAGAGGTAATTGAGGGATGCCAATGGTTTTGAGAAAGATTTTGAAGAAAGAAAAGAAGGAACTTGGTAACTGATGGATGAATAGAGAGGTTGGGGAATGTCAGTGAGTAGAGTCATGGATGACTTCTGGGTTGTGAGTTTGAGTTATAAGTTTCTGAAGTGGGCGATACCACCCCCTGGGGGGCATTAGGATGATCCAGAGGGCTGGTAGTATCCTCAGGTGTAGTTGAGGGGTATAGAGTAAAAATAAATGGGCAGTGGAAGCATAACGAAAGAAGAAAATTTTGAAAAACTTCCATACATGTTTCATCTGTTGTGTAACAGGAGTTAAAGTAATGATTATGTTATTTTCCAAATAAATACACAAAATGCAAGTTATAACCTATTGATGGTCAAGTCCAGTGACAAGTCTTAAGAAGCAAGTGCAGGGGCAGCTGGGTGGTGCAGTGGATAGAGCACCAGCCCTGGATTCAGGAGGACCTGAGTTCAAATCTGGCCTCAGATATTGACAGGTACTAGCTAGCTTGTGACTCTAGGCAAGTCACTTGACCCCATTGCCTACCTTTCCCCCCCCTGAAAAAAAGCAACTGTTAGCATTGTTGGAAAGTCCAGCATGCCTTGGCAGGAATATGTGTGTAGTAACTTTTCCAATATGATACTATAAGGTTACGTGACGCAATATTGCATCATCAAAATTTCAATGCAGGAAAAACCCCACAAATTTACAGGACATTATTAAATTTAAGGTACATCTTTTTTAAAAAATTTCATATTGCTTTAAATGATACAAATTAAAACAAAAAACTTGAAGAAAGTAGATTTCCAAGAGGGCACTGAATAATTTTTTTTTTGAAAGGGAGTGGTAGGCCACATAAGTTTGGGAACCTCTGAACTAGAAGAATGATGGTACCTTGCACAGAAAAAAGGACAAAAAAAGGGAAGGATGGATTGAATTCTATTTGGACAAATTGGTTATAAGCGCTTATGGGACATCCAGGTGAAGATATCTAGCAGACTGGTGATGACAGACCTGGAGCTCAGGAAGAGATGAAGGCTATTCATCTGCATAGAAAGATGAGTGAAACCATGATGAGATCACAATATAGAGGGAAAAGGAGAGGGCCAAGTATAAAGTCCTGGGTTACACACAAGTAATAGAATAAGACAGTGATGATCCTTCAAAAGAAACCAAACCACAAAGCAGTGTCACAGAAGCCTGCGGAGGGGAGAATATTCAAGAAGGAATAGTCAACAGTGTCAGAAGTTGCAGAGGTCAACAAGCTGATGCCCAAGAGAAGATTTATCATTAGTGCCTTGGTGAGAGCAGTCTCATTCAACCAGTGGGAACAGAGAAACAGTTTGCAGGGAATTGAGATTTGAGTGAGAGGTAAAGTGAAAGAAAAATCAGATTTTTTTCTATGTTTGTGAAAAGAAAGCTTGAGTGACTGCAGTTAGTTTTAAGAATAGGAGAGATCTAGGCTTGTAATGAAGGCAGCAAAAAGGGAGCCAGTAGATAAGAAGATGAAATTAGAGAGATAAGAGATGGTCAAGCTGGATGGTATGGAATTGACACAAGTAAAGGCAACAATTCCCACAATACACCCAGGTGAGCTTGAAATAGATACATGTAAAGTCACATAAATTAAAGGAACAAGGAACAGATTACCTTTCAAGTCTCTGGATAGGGGAAGGCTTCATGACCAAACAAGAATGGAGAGGATCACAAAAGATAAAACAATTTTGATTACATATTAACTTAAGTTTTTGTACAAACAAAACCAATGCACTAAGATTAGAAAGGAAACAACTGAGGGAGAATAATTACAGCCAATTTCTCTGATTAAGTTCTCATTTCTGAGACCTTATGTCAAGTTCCTTCTCTGCCACCCAGCTTCCCCCATTAGATTGTAAGCTCCTGCAGGGCAGTGAACTGCCTTTGCTTTTATTTGTATTTATATCCCCAGCACTTAGCACAGTACCTGGCGCATAGTCATCACTTAATAAATATTTATTGACTAACATTTAAGTAACTGATTCAAATTTATAAGAATAAGCCATTCCTCAATTCATAGGGAAGGGGGGGATGGGGAGGAGGAGAATAAGCATTTATAAGCTTACAATGTGTCAGGCACTGTGCTAAGTGCTTCGTCACCCCCCTTCCCCAATATTTCAGTTAATCTTCACAACAGCCCTGTGAAGTAGGTGCTATTATCCCCATTTTCCAATTGAGGAAATTGAGGCAGTTTGGATGACCTGCCCAAGGTCACACAGCTGTTAAGTATCTGAGGGCAGATTTGAACTGGTCTTGAGCTCTATCCATTGCACCACCAGCTGTCACTTAATAAATGACCAGATAAATGGCCAAATAAAAACAAGCAATAAGAAAAATGCTACAAATCACTAATAATTAGAGAAATGCAAATTAAAGCTAATACCCTAAATTTGCCTCTTGACAGTCATTCTCCAGTAGATAAGTGGATAAGAAGGTCAAAAATGGCATGACAAATTATTAGCAACCATATGGAAAGATTGCTCCAAATCACAAAAATCAATTCCTTAACATAGAAGTGGTCAAAGAATGTGAACAAACTTCTCAAAAGAATGGTGAACTGTTAATTACCATATGAAAGAGCTCCAAATCACTAGTAATAGGAGAAATGCAAATTAAAACAACTCAGTTTCCTTTCACAGCAAGCAATGTAGCCAAGAAGGCAGAAGATGAGAGTAGACAATATTGGAGGCATTGAAGGAAGAGAGGCATGATCCTGAATTTTTAGTAGAGCTGTGAATTAGTGCGACCATTTTTGGAAAGCAATTTGGAATTATGCAAATAAAGTAACCAAAATGTTCATCATACCCTTTTTAACCTGAAGAGTCCACTATTAGTCATATAGCCCAAAGAGGTCATTGACAAGAAAGCCACTATATATGCGTGCTCTCTCTCGCACACGCATGCACACGCATACACACACATACACGTATAAATGTAGCAGCACTTTTTATAATAGTAAAGAAATGAAAACATATCCATTGATTGAGGAATAGCAAAGCAAAATTGTGTCACATGAATGTAATAGAATATTGTTGTTCTGTCATGTCCAACTCTTCATGACCCCATTTGGGGTTTTTTTGACAAATATACTGGAGTGATTTGCCAATTCCTTCTCCTGCTCATTTTACAGATGGGGAAATGAGGCAAACAGGGTTAATTAACTTGCCCAGGTTCACACAACTAGTAAGTGTCTGAAGCCAGATTTTAATTCAGAAAGATGAGTCTTCTGATTCCAATCCTAGTGCTCCACACTCTGCACCACCTACCTGCCCTATTTACTGTTCTGTAAGAAATAATATGAATACAAAGAAGACTTAGATGAAGTGACGAAGAGTGAATTAAGCAGAACCAAGAAAACTACACAATGACTGCAGCAATGTAAATGGAAAGAACAATCACAAAATAAAAGTGAATGTTACAAAATTACAAAGAACAAGCATAAGTCAAAGAAGAGATAGAAAACCCCACTCTTTTGCAGAAGTGGGTGGTCATGGATTTTGGAACATTGCATATATATATTTTTTTGTTCCAAAAACTTTCTGAATTATTTATTCTTTTTTTAAAATTTTCAGTTCCAAATTTTCTCCATCACCCATTGTGAAGAAATGTGATATCAGTTATACATATGAAATCATGC